AAAGTAAATCTCCAATCTCGAATACTTCACTTATCATCAGATGAAGACTCCAAAAAGCAGATCTAAAATATAGATCTACTTTGACTGCAAATCCTCGAACATAAACCATGACAATGAACCATAACAATACAATCATGGATAAAACCACAAACTAAAGATTACACACAACAAAAGAACTAAATTACTATCAATAGAATCAGATCTATTGACAAACTACTAACATCCAAAATTTACTGATGGACTAAATTTATTCAAATTGAAAAATCTAAAAGAACAAACAAATTATCTCCTCATCCTTTCATAGGAGAGAAGATGGGGAAAAAAATTAGGCCGCAGAAAAGGAAGAGGAGGAAAAAAAGAGAATTATTGATATCAGATTTGTAAACTAATGAAAAAATTTGACCGAGACTGCTGTGAAATTGATACGGGAGGAGAAGAAGAAGGTAGGATGTATCCGTCAATACTCCTTTTGGATAATCTTTCAACGTAAAACTAAAAGCTTCTTGGTCATGAAAGACTGAAACTTTCGTGGATTACTTCAGAATCTAGCCCACCTCGAGAGAATAAAAAGGCCTACTTCTCAACAAAAAACTAGACACCCCAGACTTGAGAAAAACTCCAGTAAAGGCTAAGGTGGGTCGGAAAACTGGCAAGATTGGAAAACACAGTCCAGTAAGATTGGTGGGCTGAGAAGAAGATCACTGAAACACTTTGCTACAAGGACCAAAATGCACACACAAGAAAGAACCATTTGTTTAAACCATCCGTCATTGCGTTCTGAATCATGCAGAGCATTTCATGGCTTTCAACAGTTGTCCAAAATAAAGTTATGTAGAGACAGAGAGAACATAAAAAGGTTTTTGTTATATTTTAAAAAACTTTTCAACCAACAAACAACTATCATAATTAGTTATAAATTTATAATGATCATAATTACCGCTCCATTACAAACTAAGCACACAATAATACATGTGTGACACTCATTAACAATTCCAAAACCACTAAACCGTTCTTTTCCTTTACTTTTTTTTGGTCATTCTCCTTGTGAAAACCAAAAGAATCTATTGGCACTATTGAAATGGCTTACAAAAAAAAAAAAAAAAACTGTGCGTCAAAGCTGCGTAAGGAGTAGGACCTATGCCATGTGCAGAAAAATTCATTGCTGAAGCCATGCATGCCTGAAGAAAACAATGTGTATATATTTTTTGACAATAAAAAGAAAAGAAATCATTGTTCTAGTTTATTACAGAAATGATGGTAGCAAATCCCCTACCATGGAATCTTGAAAAGGGAAAGCCGATTTGACCCATTACAAGGATGAAAAGCCAAAAGTAGAGGAAGCAGCCCAGAAATTCAGCAAACGTTTGCTTTTTGTGATTCACATAAAGAAGAAAATAAAAAATTATAATAAAAGAGCTTAATTTATTTATTTCCTTCCCCTCTTTCTGTGTCTCTCTCTCTCAATCATTCATATGAGGGCATGATTGGAGGAATTGTTATTGTTTCTTGGTCTTCTTTGATTCCTCACCAATGAATTTGCAATGCCCCTACGTGGATAAACTCCCTTTTTCTTCCATTTACTGACTCTTTTTGAAACCTTTACACGAATGCAGATTATATTTGGATTCCGGAATCCGGATACTACTTATCCTTATGTTTTCGATTTTTGTTCCACCTATACTTTACTTTAACCGATACTTAATAATCGAAAACGGGAGAAATTACAAAATTTAACAACTGGTTGAATTCGAACTCGTGACATTTTGCATTTATGTTCATAATATAGACAGTGGATACTTACGATAGCTATTAGTAAAAATAAAAAATGAAAAATAAACAACGAACTACTACAGAGAAATTTCCTCACAATTAAATTAATGTTTTGAAGCAAAGACCAAAGTTAAACGATACGGACAACATCACATCAGGCTTGGATCAAATGGAGTTTAACAAATTAAGAGTGCCATGCACGGACAAAAAATGTTTTGCAGAGTGTGGTTGTATCCGGCTGGGTTGGCTTATTTTGTATCCATTCTTTTGTCTTAGACAATAAATATTCATAACTTGTGTCAGTGTTCTTTTTGGCAAATAAGTACATTGTTGAATCTGCATCGGAGTGTTTGATTAGTTATTCCGAATCCAACTTTGCAGTTTCCCAAATGAATCTAGTAAGTATGAAACTGAATCTTGTGCTCCTTGATGATTGTCCAAAAACTCAAATTTCATAATTATTTTAGAACAAATAAAATATAGAATGAAGGTAATCCAAACGAATCAAGATAGTGAGCTTTTACTCTCAAAAAGAGTATCTACAAATATGGTTGGACACCCATTAAAAAAAGGGTAGAAAAATGGAGATGCGGGGTATCGATCCCCGTACCTCTCGCATGCTAAGCGAGCGCTCTACCATCTGAGCTACATCCCCGGATGTTGTCTAGTGTCTAAATTATATATTAATTATCTTATGCCCCGCGACATAACAAAACCATTAATTAGATATAGTATAAAGTACTTGTATGTTATTCGCAATCTTTATAGTCATCACGTTAGAAGCATTGCTAAATTACTAAGCTAGTAAGTAAACAGATGCGGAACATGGTTATCTTTTTAGCAGGAAAACCAAAAAAAAAAGTGTATAAAAATTAACTTTATCGTGAGGCATACATAACAAACCTGTAAAATGACGGATGTCAGATATGATAATCAGTTATGCTTTTGCCTGTTAGTAGATGGTTTGTCATTAAGATAGATGTTAAAATTGACTAAATGAATATTATTCTTTTCAATTTTATCCTAAAATGAAAGATTTGTTTGTAGTATACTAGTACTATGCCATACTCATCAGGCAAGAGCGGTGGAGATTAACAGGAGGTGAATGGATGTTTTTGTGGTGAAGAGAATTAGAGGAAGGCAACAAGAAGAAAAGACGGAATCCACTGTCAAAAGCTTGAATCCTGGAATTCTAAGAATATACACGGGTTGTCAGCTAGCTGAGAGCCTCTTCTCAATTCCAATGCGCAGCGGATTCTGAAATATCTGGTGGGGTTTTACACTTTTACACCCCTCTTTTAGTAGCATATTTAGATTTGTTAGATTAGAAATTCAGGACCAAAAGTTCACACACATATATACAAACGCCTCCATTTGAGATTATTTTGAGTCGAAAGAAATACTCTATGTGTATCAATAATTTAAAATATACGGACACAACTTAAGCCGTAATTATTTCCAATAACACCTTTTCTCACCAACTTTGTTTGTGTAATGGCCACTAATTGTCGTAAGAATTCAACAAAGTAACCTAATTATTACTACTCATAGCTCTACTATTCTAAACTCTGAAGCTAACTTCCTACTTCCTAGCATTCAGCCATAAAGGTAATGATTTAGGTAATTAGGCTTCAATTCATCATCATCATTAGAAGTTTCCCTCTCATTTCAGATTGAGAGTGAAGAGTCAACAATTTAAGACGCAAATTGGAGTTTCCATCACTAAAATATCATATGATATCAATTTGTGACACGATATGATAATATAAGATCAAAAGTGGTTACCAATAGCAAAGTGACAGAATTGGTGTCTCATACCAACATTTAGTATTATCTTAGCTATCAGGTTTTGTCTCCTCCATTGTTAAAAAAAAAAAAAATGATTATCGATAGTGAAGTACCAAGTATTGTTTTTTTCTTCCCTTCACTTTTTTTCTTTTACTAGGGGAAATGCAATCGGAAAACACCAGTGTTGTTAAGCTCAGTTCGGACTGATCGATTGAACCGGTTTAATCGGGAACTGAACCTTAAGCCAAGCCGAACAAGGAATAAAATTGGCAAAAAAAAACAATCGGTCAAAACCGGTCAAGACCCCGATCGAACCGAGAATCGATTAAAATCGGATTGGACCGGGGTCTTTAATTATTTTTGACTTGCTGACCAAAAGTTTACGCATTTTCCCTTATTGCAAGTTCCAATGTCTTCTTTTCAAGGTTAAATTTTTCTCTTTTGTTCAAGACTCCAAAACTTTTAGTAATTAATTTTTTTTTCAAAGTATTAGTTTAATATTTTAATCTCCAATTTTAATTTTAATTCGTAAACAGCACTATTTTGATTTTTTTTTTAATTTCACTCCACAAACTAACTTCCGTCATTTTAAGAATCATTTATATTATAATAACTCTAATATATCACAAAAATTTAATCTCATATTTTTGATGTTCATATTGATTATCCTGCATTTTCAATAATTTTTCTAAAAAATAAATTTATTTATCTTAATTAGTTTATTAGTATTGTAATTTACGTAACAAAAATAATAATTAATTGCTACAAAAAGTGAATACAACTATTACAATAAGAAAATAGATATAAAATTTAAGTTTTTGATCTTAAATATTTTTAAAAATAAGTATTATTTATTTAGTGAAAATGACATCATCCTAATAAACCTCCCAAGATAAATTTTGACATATCAAAACCTATTTAAAAATGATGAAATATTAATTTAACTTTAAAAATTGTCAAATATATATAAAATTATATATATTTTGATTAAAAATATAATTATTAATGAATCAATATTTATTACGTCATTATGACATCATTCGAGTCGATCTCCCGATTCACCCCGAGTTGACCCCCAATTCGCTTGACCTCTTTGTCTTGCCGAGTCGAGCTCCGATCCGAGGTTGACAACACTGAAAAACACTCATTTGAATTGAGAGGGGAAAAAAAATGAAGTTTACTAAGATGAATTGCAGTGATAAATTTACTGTACGGTAACTAGTTCCACGAAAAAAAAAAAAAAAAATTGGGTGGATTAGGAGTTCATATGGCTATGTAGTATGTATATATATACCTAGTTTCGAAGATAGTTTATTGTGGGGAGAAAATCGAACCATCATCCTAAGAAGGGAAAAGCCGGTAACTTTCTGTTGCTTCGGCTAAGTCCGTCTCCCACTTCACTCCACTCCTGTCCTGAAATTCATTCCTGGGAAAGAGGGAAAATGGGTGTTGAATTTCAACCTAATAATACTGTTAAAGAAAGGCGGCAAATCGATACTGAAGCAACTCTTTCTCCTCCTCCTTTGGTACTGGGATTGCAGCCAGCCGCCTTGGTCGACCACGTGGCCAAAGTTGATTGGTCCCTCCTCTCCCAAATTCCGGGAGAATCCGGTGGCTCCTTCCCTGTAACTCTCTCTTTCTCTCGCTTTCTGGGTCTTGTTTGATTTCATAAGAGTATATTACATCATGCTCAAGTGAAAAGTGTTTTTTTTGGGTCTATTTTTTGCTTCTGATTTAGATGAAGGGCCGATTATTAGTCTTCACTTTGCTTCATTTACTCTGAATTCTTGTCATAAGTTTGGATTCTCTGTCGGTTTCAAGATACCAGGTTTTTATGTTTGTCATTGTTGTAGATGATCTGCGCATTTCCTAAATTTGCTGAATACCGTTGTTGTTCTTGCAGTTTTTGCAATTTATCTCCAGTTTTCAACAATTACAAGTTTTGTCCTTTGTTTTGGTTGATCTCCCTTGCTTACTTATCTATAATTATAAAGATTGCGACTTTTTTCATGTTATTGGAAACTGGGAACTTTTGTTGTTTTGATCCGTGATAATGTGTTCGACGTGCTGCCTTTTAGTCTCAACACTTTTCAGCTTCACCTTTTCTATCAGTGTTTGCCTTTGGTTCTCTTTCGACTGCTGTTCATAAGTAGAAGTTTTGTACATTAATATAGTACTCAACCCCTATCAGCTGTTATGGCATGGTTTGAGATTACCTACTCTTTGAGGGTTATTTCATTGAATCATCCCAATATTGGTAGTATTCAATGTTATACATGGCCACCTGGACGTCCATTGCCCTTTACCAATTTACTTCACATTGTGAATTATTGATAGTCTACCATATGTTCTTGCTGCAATAATGAAATTGTGAATTTTGTCTTGCATTGTCTAAATCAGCATTATACCCACAGTTCCACTTTGTAAAATTTTGCCTGCCTTTGCATTATTTTAGGTTGCTGCTGAAGAACTAAATCATATATTGAGTGAGGTAAACACACACATTCTGTCTCTCCCTGATGAGTCATCTCCTACAAAAACCATTGCTGGAGGGAGTGTCGCAAATACAATTAGGGGGCTAGCTGCTGGCTTCGGGTTGAATTGCGGGATAATTGGGGCTTGTGGTGATGACGAGCAAGGTAGCTTGTTCATAAATAATATGAGCTCTTACAACATTGATTTGTCCAGATTGAGGTTAAAAAGTGGGCGAACAGCTCAGGTGAGAGCTTATATTGCCTTTGCCCACTTTTTTTTTTACTTTTTTATAAAGAGATTGTACTGCTGAATTATTCTAAATGGCAAACTGCTGCAGTGTGTATGTTTGGTCGATCAACTGGGAAATCGGACAATGAGACCATGCCTCTCTGGTGCAGTCAAAGTTCAGGTGCTTGTTAAATGTTTGCTTCCTCAGTACTTTTAGTTTGTCAGTAGGTATTTGCTGTTTCCTCACTACGCTTGCCTTTGGCAGGCAGATGAACTCAAACGAGAAGATTTTAAAGGTTGCAAGGTATATATTGCATTAACGAAAATCAACTCATTTCATAAGCGTACTTGCTGACTATGTTGAACTTTTTTGTTGAAGTACTTGATGTCATTTGTATATAGATCATGTCTGATGCCATATCTTACCTTTCCAACTATAATTAGTGGGATTTCCGTTGCAAAATAAGTGCATAAAGTGACTCCTTTGGTCCCATATCTTTTTAGTGGTTGGTGATGAGATATGCCATATTGAACTTGGACATCATTCACTCGGCTATCCGAATTGCAAAGGAAGAAGGTCTTTTTGTTTCACTTGATCTGGCCAGCTTTGAGGTAATATTTTATTTTCATTGCATTTGAATATCATCTGTACCATGTTTAGTGAATTGTTTGTTGTGGTTCATTATGGGAAATACCTAAAAGAAGAGACTTTGTAGAAAAGAAGTAGTTTTTTCCCCTGTCAAACTACCTCCAGAATCAGTTTATTAACTGTCTTCTGGTGCTGCCTATCCTCTGCATACAAGTCTACTACTTAATTTCATTGATTCCCTTACTTTTTGTAGATGGTACGGAAGTTTAGGGTCCCTCTTCAACAGTTACTGGAGTCCGGGAATATAGACCTTTGCTTTGCCAATGAGGATGAAGCAACAGAACTCTTAAGGTTATTTCACCTTAAATATCTCATTATGAATTCAGGTCAAGGGTCAAGAGTGGAGTAACCATTTATGGTGACCATCTTCCGTATAATTTGGTTGGGATTCATATTGATGGCTACTCATGTGTCTTACATCTGCTTGTTAGGGGTGAGGAAAATGTAAATTATGAGGCGGCACTTGAATATCTGTCCAGGCACTGCCAGTGGGCTGTTGTTACATTGGGTTCAAATGGATGCATTGCAAAGAACAAAAAAGAGGTCTGTGATTGATATCTGTTCTTACAAAGACCAATCAAAGTATCTGCTAATTCCTTGCTGTGTATTTTGTTTCCTTGGCTGCTTATATGGGAACACTAGTTTTTTCTCGTCGTGCTATGCCTATCCACTTCACTGTTAGCAAAACTAAAACATTAGGATTACGTCACAAGACAAGCACTTTGTTTCCTGGTGTGCTTTTCTTACTAATGAACGTGACCTCAATTCACTTGGTCGTCCATTTCTTACACTTCACTTTAGGTTGTTCGAGTACCTGCTATCAGTAAAGTAAAGGCGACTGATGCCACGGGAGCTGGAGACCTTTTTGCCTGTGGGTTTTTGTATGGACTGATAAAGGGGTTTTCGCTGGAGGAATGTTGTAGATTAGGTTCTTGTACTGGCGGATCTGTGGTTCGAGCGCTTGGTGGTGAGGTAACACCAGAAAACTGGCAGTGGATGTATACTCAAATGAAAAATGACGGACTTCCGGTCCCTGAATTGATGAATTCTGGCTTCTGAAAAGATAGATGTTTGTTGTACTCTTAATTGATTCTTTGTTGTCATTAGTGTTAGCTTAGGCATCCATATGGTGATTGCCTAAGAAGTGCCACCCTTCTTAACTAAGAAACTATGAAAGTTTACGCCTTTACAGTGCTGAACTAGAAGCAATGAAAGTTTACGCCTTTACAGTGCTGAACTAGAAGCAATCTTGTGTTTAGCTATTTATAAATTTCTACATTACAACTTGATTCCACCTTCGATGATCTTTGTTGATGCTTTCTATTTCATTTCCGGCTTAGATTTCTGAAAGTTTCGAATTCAGGGGGAAGAAAATTCACGAGAAAAATCAAAACAAATTTGCAGACCTATCATTTACTGAAAAAACAATAATAAAAGGTTCGTCGTATATAACAAATGGAATTCTGTCGATTCTAGAGCCGTAATACCTAAAAATGGTACTTTCCGATGTATTAACACTTGAAAAGATTGGCTAAACCTAAATATTTCTCAGCGTTCATGTTTCTGAAAATGCAACATCAGTGGATAAGCCTCATAGTTCAACAGTATATTCACAAATCCTCTAGAGTCAGAGAGGCAAAAGAAAATCTTGCCATTCGAATTACTGACTCTAAACCAAATGACCCAAGATTATGATAGTATGCAAAAACAACATTGTGATTCAGTTTTGACTTAAATATATAAATTTCGCAAGATTCTTTTTCAAGACAGCAAACAAACGGATTAATTCTACTGGATGATGACACAAAACAGCAAACTCAAAGCCTTAAGTAGTAACGGTACAACCACAGCATGATAAGTTCGACCAGAAATTTGTTATAAAATGAAAATATGAATTAACTTCCAGTTGAACAGAATAAATTTTGTCCAAACGTTCGAGCAATTAGCACAAGACCAAGATCAGAATATGAGAGAAACGCTCCAAGAAGTGTTTTTCTTTATCCATGGTTCCATAACTCATCATGATGTCACCATACTGTAAACGATCATCAATGAGAGAGCAATCTCACATCTCCATCGGTGCAGGACCCTGGTCTGCAGGTTGCTGATCACCTGGTTGAGCATCGCCTCCTTGATTTTGCTCATCAGCAGCCTCAGCAGGAGGAGCCTCTTCACCTACTAGCTCAAATTCGTTAATCAGTGATTGTACGGTGTCCTTGTCCAAAACATGGAAAGGCTCGCCAACTCCAACAACAGCAATCGTGCATATGGAGCTTGTCAGCTTCTCTCCTTGCAAGGTTTCCCTCAAAGCAAAAAGTGCATCTTTGAGAAGATCTTCCCGCGAAGAGCCGTCAAAAGACTCAAACTTTTTCTCCATGTATGTCTTTGCTGCTTGTGACCGAGACCCAATAGCAAAAGCTTGGTACTCAAAATAATTACCACTAGGACAATTATAGTAAAGGTGGGCACCAGATTCATCTAATCCACCTACCAGCAAGCCAACTCCATAAGGGCGTTTCCAGGATCGCTGAGTACAAACCTGCAGCGGGAAATTAACAAGGTCATGACGCAAAAATCTATTCTCAGAATGCACAGAACCTTTTTTCTAGACTTTCATATCGAAGTATAATAACAGCAAATAAAAAAAGTGGATGTGAGGATGCACAAAGTCATTAAACTAGTACTAGTTTGACATGAAGCACAGAGAACTTAAAGGCAATAGGGTAACAGGTAGAGCTGATGTTAACAAACTTGGGGATCATAAATCCAGATCTTTCATATGTTGTATGAACAATTCATACTGTAATGTGAATATTCTTGCCTCAAGATGCTACTTAAATGCCAGAATCTTCATATTGGAGATTTTTGTAACTATCAACTCATCTTAAAACACACAGATAGGGATACAAGGTGCAGGGAAAACTCTTTAATGGCTCTTGTAACAGAATTCCGGCATTCCAAGCATACCATAAAATAACAAAAGCAATCCCAAGAAACAGCACCCCCCTCCCCCCCAAAAAAAAACCCAAAATTCACACCCTGCAGGCAGAAAGGCCAACATATAACATCCCTCGCGATACAATAGTTAATAACTCCAGTTGTCACCATGCACTAGGTTCATACAAAGAATACATAAAGTCTGTTTTACTTTCTCTCAATCTTAACATAGACACAGATCTAGCACAAACACTAGAATTCGCAGCCACAATGTGAATGAAAGGAATAAAGAGTCCAAGCACTACATCACTCATTCAGCACTAATTTACAATATAAAGATCATGCTATGATATTCTGAGGCTCACCAAATACTAATTCTAAAAGCTTAAAGCATTAGTTGGCTCAGAACTATCCATCTCTAGGTGTATCACTAGAAAATCTCACCCAATTTGAGGTAAATGCACACTTCATCAAAGCATAACAAATTCCAAAGACAAGATTTCTTAGTACCATTAGTTCAGCTTTTACTCAATTGTTATAGTATCTCCACCAAAGCATATCCCAGAATACCCACTTAAGTCCAACTACACAAATACCTAAAATGTCTACTAATTTCCAACTTCATAACATTCAAATTCTACACATATAGTCAGCGTGCCACCGCGAAACAAAAAAGGGAAACCTTTTCCGCATAAAAATCTTAAGAGAAACGAGGAAAACTGAAATTTAGCAAAAACTAGGGTTTCTAAACGAGAAGGGAAAAGACAGAATCGAACAGACCTGAGCTTTATCTGCGAGCTGAACAACCAAACGCCCAACAGGAAGGGGAGATTCGTAGGTGTAACTATAATTGATACACTCGGTACGCATATAACGGGAGAGAACACGGCCGTCGGCGGTGAGACCGGCGATGGCAACTCCGATGTGGTCATCGACCTTGAAGATCTTCTTCTGGTGAGAAGAAAGCTCGGAATTGGCCTTGTTAACCGACGCCAGAATCACGTGCGTCTTCGATCTCAACCCAATCGCCGCCGAGCCTTGTTTCACTGCCTCCATCGAGTACTCCACCTGGAACAACCTCCCCGCCGGCGACCATGTCGTGACGTCAGTGTCGTACTGGTTGCGAAACATATTTGCGCCCAAATCTATGCAAGTTTTGCTCCTACTGGAAGATCAATGTTTCCCTCTAGGTTCAATTTTTTTCAGAGGGTTTGATTGAGAGTGCTTATATAAATTCCTTCGTTTCTTTTTGTTCAAGAAGCAAGACTTTGATTGGGGTTTTACAATTTTATTTTATTTTCCTCTCTTTTTGCTGGTTTAATAATGAGGAAATTGTGAAACGTAGCAAGTAATATTGGGCCATTCGACAGCCCATGTTCATTTCAGGGATTTCAGTTTTGGGCCCATGTGTTTCAAACCCAACAAGACTTTAGAGTCTAATTAATAAGCCCATCTATCTCTATGAAATTTTGTTCAGGTAATAAAAGGGAAAAAAAAATTTATTTCCTCAGTCACACTAAAAGTTGCCAAATTTATTCAACTAATATCTAGTTAAAAAGAATAGAAAGAATAATGAAGGACATTTCTTTTGGGCTGCGATTCAAGAGAAGGCGAGCATGAACTAATGGCTAAAGATTTTTTGTGATACTTCTGTATTACACGCAGTGTAATATTAGCGAAATGATTGATATATGTTTAATTACTCGCCCATATGAATTCACCGAGCATTTAGTTGAAATGTTAGTATCTATGATAATAATATGTAGTACTCCCTCTTGTTCTAAAATTATTGTCTAGTTTGAGATTTCACTTTTAATACAATTTGAACTAAAAATGAAAACCCAAACTGGATAATAATTTTGGGACGGAGGGAGTATTAATTAATTAGTTTGTGTCACATTGAAATGCAACACAAAAAAATATCACAAAAGATCCAGAAAAGTCAACGTCCTGGTACAAAGACGGTCACGAATAAACAATAGCATATAGTCAAAACTAACGTTAATCTCTAAATATGATCTACAGTATCCTGTTAATTTCGACCAAACAGTTATCTTATTCCATCAACAAGACCGCAGCGTAACAACTCTACCCAACAACTCCCTTAAACCCAACAAGACCATATGGCCACCATATATCAATAGACAAAAGATTGGGCCCAATTGGGTTAGGATGCTGGTTGACCATTGACTACCGAAGAATTTGGGTTATTATGAATTATGTATGATTAAAGTGTGATGGAATTTGGAAGTATCAGAAAGAACATCAATAGTGGGATTGGCTGTTAAAGCCGTGAAAGGGCTTAAAGCTGATAAGTCTGATGAATCTAGTAAGATTGTCCTAAGCAAAATTGTTTCTTTTTGTGTAAACAAATCAAATTGAAAAGCAAAAGTTAGTCTGAGGAGGTCGTGATCAATAGAGTATCTTCTTTATGTTTTTGGATTTTCTTATTTCTTTCATACCATCATTAACTTAATCTTTTCTCAAGATTCTCCTTAAAAAGGGTTCACTTCTGTGATACTACTACACTAGTCATTAAGATTTTCTTAGTTCCATACAAATTTTTGTTCATTTCCAAACTTTTTATCAGTTTGTCTTCCACAATAAACATGTCTCCTCATAACTTCCTTCCTACTAAAAGAATATGTGCAAAGCTTGTTTAATATTGCAATTTTAAGAAAGTAATGATAACATAAATCTATATCATTATATGTGTCCACATTATTTGTCAATCTGTTTTATTCATCTTTGCAATCAAATTATTCTAACCAACGTGACAAGAAAAATGAGAAGTTTAGAATTAGGCAAAAGGAATAATTAGTAGAAGAAGTAACTTTTGAAACTAATAGCTCAATGATAAGGGATAGGGGAGAAGACAGCTTTGATAAAAGAAATGGCTTTGAAGTTGAGAGAGGGTGGGCCATCACTTTGCATTAGAGAACTTTTATTTGTCGATTGACATGATAATTATGAGTTTTCAATTCTTTTTGTGGGTCCTGTTATTAGATCTCATTTTCTTTAATAAATTACAAGAAATCAAATTCTTTATTATTAGAATGAAAAGTACTTTGTGCACAATAAACTAATCCATCGTACGTGATTTATGAATGAATCTATGCATGAAGCCATGAAGCATTGGCCATTTTTTGGGACGTTGACATAGGATCCTGTGGTTGGGTGAATGAAAGTCGACAAAACAATCCTAATATTCCTCTGGCTCAAATCTGAATAAGTACATTCTATTCTACAAAAAGTTTTAAAAAATGTGAATAATGTAATAAGTAGCTAGGTCGGCATTTTGAAAAAGAAGAAGTCACCTATCCATATTATTTTTTATTACGAAAAAACTATGTGAAAATATCTTTTACTAAAAAAAATATATGAGATTTTTGACAATAAAAATTCACGCTACATAATATCTACCTCGATACTAGAAGATCGTGAAATATATATCACCAAGGTAAGAGAATAATATGGTATTAGTGATTTTGAATCGCCATCTCTATCAAAATATACATGTTGGAGGCTATTGAGATAAGTCTAGATGTTTCCCATCCAAATTACTACGTCCATTTAGGATATTAATTAAGCCATGGACGTCTCTAAGGATGGAGCCCGATGGATCACATAATCATAATTCTACAACTACGTAGTAATTAGATACTAAATAATTGGTATGGGTTACAGGAGAACCTTTGAAATAAACAATGGTTGGCGTGAACTTGAAATTGAACTTCAAGAATCATTGAACTTCAAAAAATTTCAAAAGTAATAAAAATAACCATGACTAGTACTACTGTTTTTAATTAGGGAAACTAGAAACATTGACTACCGACATAATATACAAATGCAGTTTGGGTGTTGGTTCACGTACCGCCACATTGTTTTCGTCAACCGTACTGTCAAAAGCCTTTAATTTGTCGATCTCAATTTACCACTAACGTTCATAAATAATTGTGTTCCAAATTTTTACTATTTAACTCCACGGTACACCTTCGGAAGCAGTCTCAGTATCCTAGGATTTACCAAACCCAAAATTGTAAGCAAACTATAATGCAATTGCTTATGCTTTGCATTTGTACTTTTCAAAGGTGTTGGTTATCCTACACAATGGAGTATTTACTATTTAGATACTCGCACACAGCAAATAAAGCTGCAGACCGTGAGTTAAAATAGTTAAACAACAAAATGAATTATGCGACAGATATAACTAAGTATAATTATATTTAATCGTATACATTTTCATTTCCATAATAATTTAGCTACTCTCAAGATAAAAAGTTCAATCGCCATATTATTTTGGAAGGAAAAATTTAATTTTTTTTTTATAAAAAATATTTACAGGGTGACAATGACTAATTATCCTTGTAGACATTTTGATGGGTGGTATAGCTAAACAAATGGCTCATTTGACTTATGATGAAGAGAATTCCTACATAATCCTTTGATTATTTTAAGGATGTTGTTGATCGACAATTTTGCCTTTATAAAAAAAAAACCCACATGTCTACAAAAATTGTCTATATAGTAATTTATAAATTGTGTTAAAAAGAACACAATTTATAAGAAATCTACATGTGCAACTTGAGGGGATGACAGTTCGGCAAAAAGTCCTTTTTGATGATTCATTTTCAAGAGATGAATAATTCATAGGTTGAAACTTGAAACTCATGAAGCTATTAGTAAATCATGACTTCAAAAAATTGAAATTAAACTTTGAAAAAAAGTGGTAATAATTAGTATTTTTTTTTCCCCTTCCTGGGGGCTATTACTACATACTGATTGAAAGTTACAAAAACACTAATTGGTCCATGCATGAATCAATCTTCACTTAAGCAAAAACACAAAAAACATGTGATTGAAAGTTACAAATCCTCATCATAAACTTTTGGTAAAGACGATATATCATCATCATTATTCATGTCCCCATTTGTGCACTTCCAATATTTTTTCTTGTCTCTAACCAACAATTTTTAAAAATAGCTATTTGTACAGATAATTTCTACAGATATTTCAACGACAAACAGGAGGTGTTAATACTTTTATTAAAAACAAAGATACAATAGCTGTATCCAATATCTTTTCGTTGTAATAACTTCCTCCCTCTTGATACGACAATTTTAGTAATGAGATAATCTAAATAACAATTTTAAAACATAGAAATAGAGTATAATAAACTTATACTAGTATTGGTTACAGATTTTCAAAATTTGTATTCTGACAAACCACACTGTTATGAACAGACAAAAAATGAAATAAATGCGGAAGCTAGTATAGTACTACTAATTCATTTTTTCAGAAAACCAGGCCCTAAAAAAAAACAGAGAAACAAAAATTGAAAGATTTGTTTTTTCACTTGAAAAGTTGAAAAAAAAACAAAAAATCATCAGCTCTGGAGAAAGACTGGAACCAGTGGGTCCAGGTTGAAGCAAAAACCGGACAATCAAAACTTTGATGGAGTTGCTTTTTCTATTAGGTGGAGCCCACAATTTTTCACTAAAATGACAATTCTGGACAACTCACCTTCTTCAAGGAATGGCCCCAGCCATCTATCTCCCCTCAGTCAACTGGTCTGGAGTTTGAACCATTGTGAAATTCCAAATATAACCTCTCCGGCCACCACTCCTCACCGGCTGGTCCGGTCAGCCACCTCTCAAAAACCCCCAGCTAGCCAGCAGCAAACTCAGCATTTAAAATATCATTACTAATTTCATTCTGTCGTTTTCTCTCTCTTTCACTCTCTCTCTCTGTTTCCTTCTTCCTTTTGTCTGACTTCTGCCAGAATTAAACACTAAAGTCATTTCCCAGAAAAAACCCAAACAGTAATTTGAGGAAGAAAAAACATCAAGCAGAAAACGTGTTTGACGGAGCAGAAAGCGTCAGTCTTTAAACCCTTCTGTTGGTTTATCAATGGCGAAGCCTTTGTATCACCACAGGAGGAAACTGTCTAATGTGCCTGTTGCCGGTGGTGGTGGGGGTAATGGGTTGTCATTTTCTTCAGGTAAAGACTCGTACGATGACGTTTTTTCCGGTGGCCTTAAACCCAGGTCTGGAGGTGGAGTTGGAGCTCCTGGTTTCAGCTCAAGAAGGGTTGCTGTGGAGGATTATGCTGAGATTTTTGGTGGCAAGAATGGGGCCCACCACCGTGGCTCTTCGATTCCGGTTCTTGATCTTTCCGAACTCGATGATGGCGTCAATGGGTCGGATGTTTTCAGGGGCTCCGGTAAGAAAATGGATTACTCGATGATTTTTGGTGGAGGGGATGATGGTGATGAGCCTTCTGCTGCTCCTGTTCCGGCTTTTGACGAATTGTTCAATGGAGTTAAAAGGGCCAAAAGAAATGAAGTTAAAACTAGGTATCCTTTATTCTTCTTCTGTTTCTTTGTACATTGGAGTTTAATTTTCAGTCGTTCTTTTAAACCAGTGCTGTTGCCTTAGTTTGTATTTAGGGGAACAGTGACATAAATCTTTGAAATTCCATATGCTTGATAGAATTTGATTAACTTTTCCTGTTGAAAATGAAGAAGTTCTGGGGTCCCAATATTGAGTAGTCTGAACAAATGAACTTTTTGAAGGTTGCAATGGAAAAGGCTCGTCTTTAATCATTTGGTTACCTGTGGTCGTTCATAGTTAATTGTTTAAGTTTATCATTGTCCGTTTTCTATTGTTTTTGGAAAAAAACATGGTATTGTAGTTCAAATTAACTATTTGGTTGCAGCTTGACAATGTTGATTGGGAGCTTTCCTTAATAATAGTGCTTTCTAATGATAACTATAAAAGTTGGGTGATGTGTAAAAGCGGGAGAATATGAAGCTTCGATATCTTTGATTATGTATGACGGTGTTCTGGTAATATCTGCAATGATTTGTTCCTGTTTAGAGCTTTGGATGTTTCTGCAAAGATATTGCGCACAATGGCAAGGATCCTTTTTCATGGATCTTCGGTCCTAGCTTGCGGCGTCAAAATTTTGTCTCTACTATTGCATTTAGTTGTGAGAATTTATTTTATTCTTTTTCTCGCTTCGTCATTTGAATCTGCATTTTGTCGCTTTTCGCTAAATTGTGCTTGTTTTGTTGTCGTTTGTGGAAACCTCCCGACTGTCTTTTATTATTGGGTTTAAAATTTGCCCGTGAAAAGTATATTTTCGGCTTGTATTTATGGTATAGTTGGCTGTTTGTTTTGCGTGCGGTCTAATTATGGAAATTCGCATGCTATCCATTGCTTTTACTGCATTCATGCTTATTTGAGGTCACGGTCGGGTTCATGTGTTTTCTTTTGTGTCATTGTGTGTGACATAAAATCTTCAGATGTTTAATGGATCTTAGGGCTGCACGTTTTCTGGCAATTTATTTTGCAAGGGTTCATGCTGTACACATATAAGTTGTCTTTGGGCATGGTGTTTGAAATTTCCATGTAGCCTTACGCACTCTGTTCATGGTTCTATATCATTGTAGGGTGCCGGCCGAAAATGGATCTCCTCTAAAAGGACCAGATCGTTTAAATGTGTCTCATAACATGAAAAGCCACTCGTGTGATGGACCTGCTCCAGTTTTGGATGGTGAAAAGCAGTTTAATATGTCTTTTCATAAAACTGGTGAACGGAGGAAAGATATCTTAAATGGGACTACACACATAGCTCAATTAAATGCTGTTCCTGGCTTTACATATGTCATTGATGAAACTGCTCGTCTACGAGATACTCAACAGAATAAGTCAATGCCTCCGATTCCATCAGAAGGAAACCATCACCGGAGCTCCAGCGATCATCTACAAAGTAACAAAAAGGATAAGGCAATGCCTCCAGTTAAAGTGGAAGTTGATACTAAGAGCCCTGCTCCTGATCAATCTGATGAAAAATTTGGGAGACGGACCAAATGGCAGATCCCCACCACAAAGTCTTCTGAGTTTTCAGTTAAACATAAAGTTGAATGTAACAGGAGGGATGATGATTGCCTGAAGGATAACTTGCTACATTCTGATGATTCTGGCCTTGATTCACATTTACCTAAAGAGCCATCACCATCTTGTTCTTCAGCCAATCTAAAAGATAGCAAGGGCCAAGTCAAGCAATCATATGTATCAAGTTTTGGTTCTAAGTCTGAGGGTTCTGAGGCCATTAGTGGTTGTGCAACTTCTGATGAGGAACTTGATGTTAATTCAGCTGCAGCTGCTTCCGTGGAAGCTCTGAGGAAAGCCATTGAGCAGGCACAAGAAAGCATAAGAATCGCAAAAGAAAAGATGGAAAGGAAATCACGTCCCAGGGATAGCTTGAAAGCCAATGGTGGATGTGAAATTAATCATGCGCAGGAAACAAACGGTGACAAAGAAAACAATGTCAAGGAAACAGGTAAAAGTCCTGAAATGAAAGTGAAAGATCCCATTAGATCTACTCATGAATCTGAGTTGGGAAATAGTGGATTTGTTTCAGGATTCACTCAGAAAGAGAAGCCTGCCGCTGGCAGACAGGCTGTGAGTGAAAATGTTGAAGTATCTGGAGACAACGGGGTGGCGACTTGGTTTAGTCAGCTGCTAAACAATGGGAAGCAGAAAATGGCAGCATTGGCATCTGAGCTCGTAGTTAAGAAAAATCAAATATTGCAACCTGGGGATAAAGATATGGACAATTGTGAGGACATCAAGCCAGCAAAGGAGAGCTTGAAGGTCAATGCTATGGACGAAGTAAATAGTGTCAATAGCATCCGTCAGGGGGTAAGTACAGATGCAAAGCTAAATGTTCTTCAAAGCTCAGAGCTAAATGAAAGTATGGTTGATTCTGGCTCATCACCCAATGTAAATGATGTGAGACCAGGTGACTCTCCTATGTCTGCTAAAAACGATGAAGTAACAACCTGCAGACAACATGGTTTAGATAGAGAGGAATGCAACGAGTTGAAAACTGACTCTTTTTGGGAAACGTTTACTGACATGCAGTCTGAGCTTCCCAAAGCTTGGAAAGATTTACCAGAAAGTAATTCACTGGAGGTAGAGGAAAAATCTATTGAACCAAAAGCAGGGAATAAAGTTGAGATCATTTCTGTAGGGGATAACAGTGATGGCAAAATAGGTGAAGTAGAAAGTAACCTGCAGCAGGAAGAGCTTCGACTTGGATTGGATACTAAAGAAGGGGCTGCAGATAAAGAGAATGATGAGTCTAAACTGGCCACAGACATAGAAAGTGATGGAAAGAGACCGGAAGATGACCTTAAGGAACATTTGGATGGTGGTAATGAGCAAGAAAGTGATAGCCAGAGACTTGCTAAGTCGGTTGAGCACGAAGAAAGCCAGATATTCTCAGAAGAAGAAGAGTTACAGGAAGAGATTGAAAGAATTCCAGCAGAACTTCATAAAAATGAAGAAGCAGGTAGCATGGATGAGGATGCTTATAACAGCTCGTTAGATAAGAACACAAACGTGAATGAAGAGCTTGAGGAAAGTGTAGAAAAGTCCAGGGTGCACTTATTTGAGCAGGTTGTTCATGAGCAGAAATCTGATACAATTTTTGATAAGTACAGTGCCAATGGAATTGAGAACTTAGTGGACTTCGAGGACTCATCCAGATCTTTCATGGAAAACAATTGTGAGCAAACTAGTGAGAGAACTGAAACTGTGGAAGAGAAGGAAGACCGAGATGAGTTTACCGCAGAATTTAGCCGACAGGAATCAGGAGAGGATGAATGTGTGGTTGACAATGTAGGCACTAATGAATATATGTATGAGTTGGATGGAGATGCTGAATCAGAAAAAGCAGCTGAAGAGGCATCATGCGTGGAAAGAGAGCATAAATTAGAAACTTCTTCTGTGGATCACATTGACTCTGAAGAGAATATTATGGAAAGCACAGTGCATGATATTTCCGATGCTCCTGCTTCTGGTTCATCTGGAAGTACATTAATGTTTGACTTTGAACATGTTGTTCGTGAATCAGAACTGGAGGATATAGGGACTGATAGCTTCAGTTACAACGGTATTGACAGGGATGTTATAGATAATCAAAATGCTACTGAGGCTTCTGCAGTTAATGATTCATCAAATTCTGATTTGAATGACTTGAATCAACAATCAGAAATTCATGAAATTGATGACCAGGAATTTACTCACATCACTGAGAATTTGGAAGAGACAGTTCGTGAAGTGGGTGGGAGGGATCAGATAGAGAGTGATATAGAATCTGAATCTTCATTGCATCATGGCTTTGTTCATGAATCTGGAGGAACTGTAGAAACTGGCCACATGGCTGAGATTCACTCTGAGAAAGAAGTTGAAAAAGATAATACTGAGAAGTGTCCTAAAGAACAACAGTGGGTTCAAAATGAAAAGGAATCAGAAGGGTCTCATTTTTCAGGGGAAGAAGACATAGAAACTAATTCAGATGGGAAAACAGACCAAAGTTCAGAAAACTACGAGGAGGATTTTAGCAGAACATTTGTGAAGGAAACGAAGGAAACTAGAGAACCTTTTCAAAAAGAAGAGGCGGGAAAAGATGACATTGGAACTAGCGAAGCAAAAAAGAGGGACAGAGAACGGGAGAGAGATAGAATGGCAGTTGAAAGAGCCATCCGCGAAGCTCGTGAGAGAGCTTTTGCTGAAGCTCGAGAACGTGCTGAAAGAGCTGCCGTAGAGAAAGCAACGGCTGAAGTTAGGCAAAGAGCAATGGCTGAGGCCCGGGGGAAGCTTGACAAGGTATCCTCCAGTGTGAAAGCGCCAGTTGATAAAGCTTCCATTGCTGCCAAGCTTCGAGCAGAACGTGCTGCAGTGGAGAGAGCTACCTCAGAGGCTCGTGAACGTGCCCTTGAAAAAGCCATGTCCCAGAAAACTACTGGTGAGACAAAACCGCAGTCAGAAAGAGATGCATCTGGAAAGTTTTCTGGTGCTTCCAGAGATGCTGGACTTAAGCATAGTTACTCTTCTTCTGTGAGTGTAACTTCAACTTCTATTTCTTTTCGTAGTGTGTCATTTTACTTGCATCTCATAAGTTGAAACATGAACTCCCTGCAGGATCTAGATAATTTTGACGGAAACAGCAGTGAATCAGCTCAAAGAAGGAAAGCAAGGCTAGAGAGGCATCAGAGAATAATGGAAAGAGCGGTGTGTATTCTCATAGCATGAATCTCCGAGATGCTAATTATCCATTTTTGGCTGATGTAAAACATTCTGAGTTCTGTTTTTGCAGGCAAAGGCACTTGCCGAGAAGAATCTTCGGGACGTTCTTGCTCAAAGAGAGCAAGCTCAGAAAAACGTAATAGTCCGCCTAAGACTTAAATCCTATCAGCATAGCAATCATGGTTTTTTCTTTTTGTCTGACTCAGTTTTTGAATTGCAGAAACTGGCAGAAACTCTTGATGCGGAGATTAAAAGATGGGCTAGTGGGAAGGAGGGAAACTTGCGGGCACTGCTTTCAACGCTGCAATATGTATGGCTCTTGTTTGCTCTAGGACATTCTAAATTTAGCGATCTGATTAACCACATTGCCGATTACGCCTAACCCTAACAAATGGGAAGTCTATTTAAATGCGATGGTTATATAAATCACTTCAGATGTCATTGCATGCCTATTTGTCCTTGTGTCTTAGTCTTAAACATTTAGAGTTTCCTTGATGTATGACGCCTTTGAATCCCTGTCGGTATGAATGCGTACAAGTTTTCATTTAATCCTATATCCTATTTGCCATTTACCGTCATTGGGTAATGGGTATGGCTAGTATGTACATGCTTCCTTTTATGCACTCCCAATTGTGGACTTTATTTGGCATGGACTGATATATTGTCTGCTGAATACAGATACTGGGGCCAGCTAGTGGATGGCAGCCAATCTCTCTGACTGAGATTGTTACGACTGCTGCAGTTAAGAAAGCTTACAGGAAGGCAACTCTTTATGTTCATCCCGACAAATTGCAACAAAGGGGTGCTAGCATTCGGCAAAAGTACATATGTGAAAAAGTTTTCGATCTTCTTAAGGTGGGTTTTTTGTGCTCTTGAAACTCAAACATTCTTACAGCAACTAAAGCAAGTTTAGAGATTCATCAGTGTAACATCGTTTTATTCTTGTTTGTTCTACAGGCAGCATGGAACAAGTTTAATTCAGAAGAGAGGTGAACAATGCCATGAAGGCTTCTATTTGGTAGATGTTGCAAAGCAACCGTGACATAGTTTTATCCTGTAGTGGGATAGTGAATCTGTAAACATATTCGAAAAATTCTCTTTTCTCAGTTGGCGATAATCAAAATTCTTACAAGCAGTGGCTTCAAAACAAAAGGTTTAACCCCGTCTAATTGACTCAAGTTACTAACATATTGGTTTAGGTTATCAAAGCTTTGAACTGCAGACCAAAGAAGCTGGAATTAGCCATTGACTTTACAAATTAAGCAAGAAAAACTAAATTGCAGTGAAGTCTCTATAATATACATTGACCCTTCTGATTTTTATGAAAGAACCATAACGCTGCTAAAAAAAAACTTGAATCTTTTGTAGTTCCTCTGTATTCCGACAGGCTATAAATCTTGAATCCTGTGAATATTTCTTAGGACATGAATCAGTTCAATCCGAGATGGATGAAATGATCAGTTATCAACCGTGAAACTTGATCCATTCCAGCGACTTCTGACCCTTTAAAAGTCTGGAAATGAAGTGTTCCATACATTATCATAAACCCATAGTTTTTACACACCAAATTTGAAAACGGTTAAACAGAGTCTTGAAATCTTCAACATAATAGATTAATCCCATAAAAAAACTACTACTCAAAAGTCAGAAACTGATTACATAAATCTCACAATCTTCATCATCAGCACAATGCTAGTAAAACTTCTCAGGCTGCTGGAAGGATCCAATTCAAAAACGCAAACATCTCCGGCCTTGACCTTGTTTGAAGTGAAGAAAGCCCTCCATCCGTTTCTCAGCTTTCTGTTCCTCTGAGAACCTTCACGCAGTCGATCATCACTGTAACAAACAATTTCCATTTCCCATGCATTTCCTTGACCATTCACGATCACGGCTCGTTCTTTCCCTTTCAGACCATCATTCAGCTTTTGAAATTCAGCTGGAATGCTCTGTCATCCACCACAAAGTGATCAATCAGGAAGCAATGAAAATTTGAGCTAAAAAAAAGTCCATCATTTTATCACAAGGAAAGACAGAAACTTTACCAGATAGTTTTGGTTCACATGATGATCTTCAACAAGAATTGCAAATTGATTCTCATAGCATCTTGACTTCACAATTCCATCTGATTTCAAACATTAAAATTACTTCTGACAATCTCATACATTTGTTTAAAAAACAAAGGCCATCTATTCCATTCAGAAATCAGAACTGAGAAAACTTACTTCTTAGCAATTCACTTGGAAAATCAAGTCCTGCCATTCTGGAGAAGTGACCTGGCAAATGAAACTTTTTCTCACAAGAAGATTCATCAAACACATATGTTCGGAAAACCAGCGGATCAGTCTGCTCAAACAGAATTTGGTCGCCAACATCCAGATAATGCTGATCGATGTAAAGGGTCCAGTTATCTCCAGATAGGACCAGTTGGCCATGGCAGCTGCATCTACTAACTTCAACAGCCCACATCCCTTTGCTGCTGATCAAAATGGCATCATCCGGGATTTCTCTGCCCAAGCTGCGACTGAAATCTTTTGGCAGCTTCTGTGCATATATAAAAGCAACGCAAAGGAAATGTAATTGGAATCGTTACGGATGACAAATTGTAAGATCGAATGAAGCAAAATCCTTACGAGCTCTTCTCGGAATCCTTGTGTTATGGCCTTGAAGAAACGGCTGCTGATGACTTGCTGCTCGTCATCCTACATTTTTAAGAAGAACTTTGTTACTTGCTTAGAAATTAAAAGAGAAAGAAGAAAACAAATATAGGGAATCTCACCACAGAGCAAGCATAGGAGTTGAATCGTTCTTTCTTGAACCTTCTGAAGTTGAGCAGAGCTGAAGAAATCACTGGCATTTTCTCCTTGCACTCTGCATTAAAATTGAAACTGTGTGATGACCTTGGACTTGAATCAGAATCACTTGCAAACCATATAAATTGTAGGGGGAAAAATGGTAAAAGATGTTGAGTTAAACCAGTTTCCATCTTTTGAATGTTAGGCCTGCACTCAAGATGGTCAGGAGAGCTTCTTCCCTTTCTTCTTTCAGGGATCTCTTTAAATGAAACTTCCCCCCGAATGGAACCATCATTGTCTCTTTTCAACGACTTCATCTCTTCAGCTTGAATGTGTGTCTGCTTTTCTTTTTTTAACACAATCTTCAGAGAAATTCTCAGAATGAGATTAAACTTTCTGACAACAGGACAGATTTCAGAGAACTATGTATTGCAGAGAGGAAGAAGAAAGAAGGGAAACCATCAGGGCTATAAATGAAGAAAAAAAAAAGGCAACTTCAACACTGTCAAACTTAAGGTCTTGAAGGTCACACTGTCAAAAAAACACAAACATATTGCCTGGGAAGTAAGTTTGATTCCATAGCTGTGTGCTGATGAATTTTTCTGATTGGTCCCAAAGAAAAAACAAAAAAGGAGTCTCTGTTAAGGTGGCAGTTAGAATTCAAAGACTCAATCTTTAGAGTAAATATGAGAATCGAATGGCAGGAAAAAGGTGAAAAGAAAGCTGGCCTTTCAATGCATTTGTCTGAAAAGGAAAATATGCAGACATCACCATTTGTACTGAAAGTAGCAGGCCTATTTGATGGATAGGAGTCCAGAATTTCCGAGTCTCTGCTTTCTCAATTTTTCATAGGAAAGGAAATGGTGGAGTCAAAAGCTTTTTCTGAATTCTGAAGACTGAAGGGTATGAAGCGGGAAAGGCGTGATTTTTAGGTCAGTGGAGAACCACGACTCCTCTGTTTAATCTGAGGAATAGAGTAGGAATTTAAAAATTAGTCCCTTGCAAATTAGTCCATTAAAGAAAAGAACGGAAAGGAAAAGAACACTTTTGATTCCTTACATACATAGTTACATTTGATAGGTGAATCCGTTACGGTAATTCTTCATCATCATAGATAAATGTGGGGAGAAAATAATATATCTCATTCACTTATATCTGAATTGTAAGAGCGAATTTTAGCGTTAAGATCCAAGGGTGGAATATGTGTTTTTCGTAAAATGCTTTTTAAGAAATAGCTACTTTCATTTGTTTGTAATTTGAGATAGAGATATCTTGAAAACCCACACTAGAAACTCTCACCATGTTTACCACAATCTAAATGCAAGTACAAAAAGCCCAAAAGTCACTGGCTAATTCTCCTTTAGAAAGGAAGGATTAATAAAGTCACTAGGTGAATGAAATGGAAGGTAAATCTAAATTATAAACCAAGCGCATGAAGCATAATTGCATTCTGTGCATGCATCCGGTTCTCAGCCTGCGGGAAAACGATTGAGTTTGCGGCTTCAATAACGCCATCCGTGACCTCTACACCTCTTTCTGCTGGTAGGCAATGCATGAAATAGGCTTGTGGTCCAGCTAGTTTCATAAGAGCTTCATCCACCTGCAGTTACATTTACGTAAACAAATTAATGAATCAGTGTACAACTTGTGCTATCATATCTTGATCTTGTAGTTGCAAACTACATCCACACCTATAAACCCTAAAGGAGCTACAAAACTGTCTTCACCAACATCAATCATGTTACAGCGAATGCATGTGTACATTTCAGGATCATACTTTTGGTTGAAATATAAGACACCTAAGTTGACAATAGTTGGTCAACTGATGATTGCATACCTGGAATCCTTGAAACACCTGACGTCGATAAGCAGCTTCTTCCTTTTGACCCATACTAGCCCAAACATCAGAATACACAACGTCAGTTCCTTTAACTGCTTCTTTGGGATCATGTGTTATCTCAATCTTGCTCACTCCAGTTTGTTGTGCTTTCTGCACTGTCTCAGCATCCGGTTCAAAGCCTTTTGGACAGGCACAGACAAAATGAAATGGAATGATTGCCGCCAACAGCAGCCAAGAATGGACAATGTTGTTTCCATCTCCAACATAAACAACCTGACAATTTCAAATCGTCCGGTTAACCAGAGTTATTCTCACAGAATATAAATTGCAGCAGAAATGAACCAATTTTATAGCTTACTCAAGATGCTTACTTTAGTTCCTTCCAGACGACCAATATGTTCGATCATTGTCAGGGCATCAGCCATAATTTGACAGGGATGGTTGTAGTCTGTCAGACCATTGATTACTGGAACACTAGCATATTTGGCCAGATCAAGAATATCCTAAAGCCGAAGTGGAGCAAAACATTAGAGATAAACTTTATAACAAGGTATAGACATAAAAGATTAACAAAGATTACAGCTCATATCATATTCCAATGTAGTGATTTAGAATTCATGATTTTCCACCACAACTGATTGAAGGTGATAAAGTTAAGAAAGTTGTGTACCAAAATCTATAAGCTCCTAATAATGAATTTTGAGTATCCACTTTTTTGGCCAGGATTTGTTAAGTAATATGCTATATATCACAAGGTATGAAGTCCTGAAAGGCCAAGCAAAAAAGCAAGCATGAAAGAATAAAACAAAATCTTAAGGGATGCTTGAGGAAAACTCTAATTCAATTCAGACTAGTTTTAAAACAAATGTTCCATAAAGAGGATAACCATGTATCAGAAACGCAAGTGCAGTTTAATGAGTAGTCATTGCTAACTTATATTGCCTAAGTGGAGAAGGATTGTTGACTCTCAAACATCAAAAAGTCCAGAATTATGAATAAGCTACCTTAACCAGTCAGAGAAGGGTCTCACCAGCATACCTGATGAGCAAACACGCGAGCCATAATGATGTCATTATATCGAGACAAAACGCGAGCAACATCGCGGGTTTCCTCTCGCTTACCCATCTGGATATCATCAGGTCCCAGGTATATAGCATGACCACCAAGCAAGTTAAAACCAGTCTCAAAAGAAACCCTTGTCCTCATTGATGGCTTAGCAAAGATCATTGACATTGTTTTACCCTTGAATGGGAGATAGGTTCTCTCCCCTGATTTGATCAGTGCCTTGACCTCCTTAGCCCTATCCAAAATACTCAGAATTGTAGCCTTATCAAAGTCATTAATGTGTAGGAAATCCTTGAATCCTGCATTAGCTGGAAATTCCAAATAGTTTGTATAGTAAGTGAAAGGAATTCAACATAAAAACGCACACGAAGCATCGACTGCATTGCATTCTAATTGAACAGATATCTACTTCCCCGATGCATAAACCTAATTAAAGTTATGAGTCAAGGCAATCCACATTCTCAGTTCACAGATAACTAAACATGAAGTAAAGGCAAAGATAAGTATGCAAAACGGGCACATGCAAGCAACAACAGAAATGGAGAGCACAAAATGGGAACAAGAGAAAAAAAAGAAAAAAAAAAGGGAGAGAAAGAAAAGAAGGCAAAGAACTTGACCCTCATTCAAGATTTGCTGAAAAAAAAAATCTATTTCAAACTAAACTGAGAATACTAAAAATAACCATAAATTCAGATACTAGGGACAATCAAAATGGAGACATTAACCTTTCCCATTGACGGAGGATGAAGGGGAAGAAACAGCGGATGCATTGGTTTGGCAGGAGATTCGTCGACGAATTGACGGAAAGCTAACCGGAGAAGCGCCGGAAAATCGGAGAGATCGGCGAGATAGAGAAAAGGATGAAGCTGATGAGAGGAATTCCGGGTCCCTCGCCGGTCCAGTAGAGGGCAAATGGGTGGAAATAGCAGTGGACGCCATAGCTACTGTTCAGTTTTCTGTTTAACCCAGTTTTGCAGTTCAGTGGCGGCGTTGCAGTGTCAATATACTCTCAATTTGAGTAAAGAAGGCGTGATTTTTACCGCATCTCAATAGACTCCGCCTTCTTTAAATCCTTGATTGGGCTTGCTGGATAATTGGTAGAACAAAATATATTATTTTTGGGCTTCCATGGTGCAAAATTTCATCAGCTGAAATGATCCTTCTGGTTTAGTTTTCAGGCCCAATACCCCAGTTCGAACAAAGGGCTTAAAGCATTTTATGGAGAAAGAATCAGCAGTCACAGTCATCAAAGAGTGTAATTAATAAAGTGATGATGAAACTTGTTATAATGGTGAAAACGAAACGATCCAAATTTTTTTTTTCTGATTTAGACGTTATCACGTTCAATAGAAGTACTAGCTAGTAGAGTTTTCAGTAGGATTATAGCATATGAGTGTTTTTTTTTTTTTTTTAATGGTAGAACATTTTTGTTATATATAGAATAGTAAGAAAAACTCCAAATCCACCAAACTTGTTAAAAGAACCATTTGCATTGTGAAAGTTACCATTGTTCTGAGGTCTAGCTTCTAAACCTTTTGATTGTGGATATCCTAATCCCAAAACTTTACTCACCAAGATTTAGCAATTGATTTTACTGCCTTACCTACTACTTACTCTCTTTTGTTAACAATATTATGACATCTTAGAAGCTCTTGGATGGAAAATGACATCTAATTGAGGCTTGCAAATCCAGTCATTCTTAATGGAAAAAAAAATGTATCAATAAGTAAAAAGGTAAAAATGTGATTGGATGTTGGTTCCTCTTGCAGGCAAAGTTAAGCAGCTAAATGCTTCAATCACGGCCAATTGCCGCCCCTATGAGCCAAGTTTGATTACATCCTCTTTGATAAAAGTAATGACATTTTGTTTAATTTTTTGATCACCTGGGTTAAAATGTTGATAATAAGACTCATATTTTATCGAACAAGTTGATAAAATCCAGTCACATTTTGCCATCAAACGCAATGCCTCTAATGGTATGTATGTTACCTTTTGCATTTATTCAATTTTTGCATTAAAGGAAGAAATTTACCATTTAATCATATCAAATTATTCACCCAAGTCAGGTGATGATGGTTTTTAGTTTTCTTCCCAGAAGTATTTCAAGTTGGAAAGAGCTGTGATTGCCTGCATTTTTATGGACCATCATTAATTTTAAGCAATACCGAATATGGTAACAGCAGCAACACATACAAACTTCTGTATAAGAAATGACAATTGGAGCACCTTTTTGCATTGTGGAGAAACCAAAAAACTGGATTCCACTCGATTTGCCTCGCCCTTAATAAGAACAGAGAAATATCTAATTCTTCTCTTACCACAACTCTGTTCTATCATCTTTTGGAGCAGAACATTGTTGAATAAGACGATGAAGAAGCAATTTTTCAGCCCAATTTTCATATTGCTTCTGCTTCTGCTTTTGATCCATGAACATGGAAAACATGGACAGATTTTAGCACAAGATGACTACATTAAAATTGCGGGTGGACAGTTCATCTTAGGTGGATCCTCGTTTTATATAAATGGATTCAATGCTTACTGGTTCATGATTTTTGGCTCTGATCCATCTCGGAAAGACAAGGTTTCTACTGCCTTTAAAGAAGCAATAGATCATGGCCTTACTGTAGCACGAATTTGGGCTTTCAGTGATGGAGGAGGAACTGAAGCTTTGCAGTATTCCCCTGGCTCTTACAATGAAAATATTTTTCAAGTTAGTAGTATATCTCAATTTCGTTCTTCACGTAAATTTTTAATGTTTTCAATCATAACCCTTTGTTCCATTTCTTCTCAGGGATTGGATTTTGTTATATCTGAAGCAAAAAAATATGGAGTAAGGCTGATATTGAGTTTAGTGAACAATCACAATGATTTTGGAGGAAAAAAACAGTATGTAGAATGGGGAAGAAGTAAAGGGCAGTCTCTGGCATCTGATGATGATTTCTTCAGAAATGAAGTTGTCAAAGGGCTGTACAAAAACCACATCAAGGTCATGAATCATCCCACTTATTTCTGCATTTTTTTCTATTCATATCTAACTTGTGATTTGTGAAGAATAGATAACTGATAAAACAGAGCATTATGCTTAATGCTTTCCATATCAGTCCCTTGGTTGGTTATTACCTTATAAAATGTTTCTGTGAGTTCTACAGGCTGTTCTTACAAGAAAAAACACCATTTCTGGAGTTATTTACAAGGATGATCCAACCATTATGGCTTGGGAGCTTATGAATGAACCAAGAACCCCCACAGACCTTTCCGGAAAAACCATTCAGGTGGTGGAGATATCAAAGCTTCGTCTTCTTTCTTTTCTATACAGTTGTTATAATTTTGGTTAATTAGGACATAAATGACAAGCTAGCAAGTAGTTGCTCACGGGCTTAGAAATCATCTGATTAAGTATCACGGGAGAACTGACTTTCAGGCCCCCTTAATGGAGATTCCAACATTTTGGCAGGACACGGCTCCTGATTTGAAGCCGCTTTCATGTGGCCACCTTTAACCTTTATGTTTCATTCTTAATTTTCACGAATTGACCTATTGGGTGGATTTTGGAATTATTTTTACAGGATTGGATTTCAGAGATGGCTTCTTACTTGAAATCAATTGACAGCAAGCACTTACTAGAAGTTGGACTCGAGGGGTTCTATGGTTCAGATCCTAAGAAGAGATCTATTAATCCAAATTCCCAATTGATTGGAACAGATTTCATAGCAAACAATCAAGTAGCTGACATTGATTTTGCCACAGTTCATTCCTACCCAGATGCATGGTATTTTTTAACTTATCCACCATTATCCAACAAGAAAAAATGTTGGAAATTAACATAAAAAAATGTTTGCAGGTTATCAGGCCAAAGTGATGCAGCCCAGCTTACTTTCCTAAAAAACTGGGTAAACGCTCATATACAAGATGCACAGAACATTCTTCGGAAGCCGGTTCTTTTCGCCGAGTTCGGGAAATCGACAAAAGACCCTGGATTTAGCGTGAGTCAGAGAGATGCAGTGTTTGATGTGGTGTACTCTGCGGTGTTTTCATCGGCTGTAAGCGGAGGTGCGGCGGCAGGCGGTTTGTATTGGCAATTTCTGACGGAAGGAATGGACTCTAATCGTGATGGCTATGAAGTCATTTTTAGTGAAGGGGATTCAACCGCAAACTTAATTACTCAACAATCACAAAAGCTAAGCAAGACTAGAAAATTGTATTACAAGGTTTAAGTTCTAGAGAGATTTTTTTGTAGTATGCTAATTGTTTGTTCGGTTCTACTCCTTCCCACCCTTAATAAGTCAACATCTCTGGAAAGAAAGTTGTATTGGCCATATACAACTTCCATTCAACTTCTAGTTTCACTGAGCAAGCAATTGTAGTCTATTGATTCAGATTGAATGAGTATTAATCTATGTATAATATGAATCGGCTTAGGATATTAAATAATCCCTTTTACCCTATTAAAGCAAAATACAGGATGTTGATGTGTCAACTTCTTATTAAAAGTTTTTTGCTCCAAATGCACCATATTGCATTAACCATTTTGTCACCTGTCATCCCTTTTTAAAAGAAAAAAAAAATTCTTATCTGGAGAAACAAAAGTTACTTTACAAAAATAGCTACATAATTTTAAAATAACATTTAAATTTGTCCATAAACTTATCCCCTTTATTATTCCACATTCTTTTTTATGATTTCTACATCGTTGTACTTTTCAATATTTTTTCTCATTTGGCGAATAATTATTTTTATTTTTATTTTTATTTTTGGCTAAAAATAGGAAAAAAAACCAAATGTGTAGCTATTTTATCTTTTCCAAATTAAGAATTCATTTATCTATTAACACAAAATTAAAGTAGAGGGGAGCATCTAGTTGTTTTTAAAGTCATATTAAATAACTGAACAGGTTCTCGTCATTCATTTGATTGCGTCTTCTAATGATTCTACTGTGGTTGGGATGATCCGTGTTAGGATCGTGTTGTTGGTGCTAATGTTTATCTAAATATTCCAACTAATCTAATATAGAGTAATCTGTTCAAAAGATCCTTTACATTTGCCCAAAAATTTAATTTGGTCATTTACATTAAAAACTCACTCATTTGATTCCTTACATTTGTCTTTTCAACTAATTTGGTCCTTTTTACCTTTTTTGGCCCTTTACATTTGTGAGTTCTTGTGTTGACCAATTCTTTGTCAACTCAATAGGGGCATTTTCGGTAATTTATAAATATCAAATTTTTAAAATATGTTTAAAATAAAAAATGTATTAAAATAATACTAAATATATTATATTAATTTATAATTTTATTATTAAAAAAGAAAAAATTAAAAATTAAAAATTCAAATATAATATTATTAAAAAAATTTAAAAATTGAAAAATAAAAAAAATCGAAATGTGATTTATTTTTTTTAACCCATGGACCCCAATCGATTTTTTTTTTTACCCAATTATTATCCACCACCACCGGACTACCTCCGCCGCCGCCGGGCCGGCCACTGTCCGGCGGCCGGTGACCGGCCGCCGATTCCGCCGACTCGGGAGTTGGCCGGAATCCGGCCGGCCGGCCGTCGGTCGGCGGCTGTTTGATAGCGGCGGTGGGCGGTCTGGCAGCGGTGGAGGTGGTCTGGTGGTGATGTAAAAATATTAAGAAAAAAATAAATTTATAATACTAAACATATTATATTAATAATAAGAAAATAATTTTAAAAGTTCAAAATTCAAATATAATATTATTAAAGAATTAAAAAAATAAAAAAAATGAAAAATCCAAAATGAGATTTTTTTTTTTACCCTTCCGTCCCAATAGAAATTTTTTACCCTTGAATTATTCTTTTTTTTATCATGTGGGGCTAACATCTAATTTTTTTCTTTACCCTTATTCAGTATTCTTAAGAATAATTCAGTGTTCAGTGTTCTTAAGAAAAAATAATAATGAATAAGGGTAAAGAAAAAAATTAGATGTGGGCCCTACATGATAAATCACATTTTAAATCATATCTCAAACTCAAAAAAAAAAAAAACCAAAAACTAAAATAAACCATTTTCCAAATAAACCTTCTGTTTTTATCATATGGGGACCACATCTAATTTTTTTCTTTACCCTTATTCAATTTTTTCTTCATGTGTTATTTTGGTATAACGAAAAAAAAAATACTGAATAAGGGTAAAGAAAAAAAATTAGATGTTGGCCCACATGATAAAAATAGAATAATTCAAGGGTAAAAAGTTTCGATTGTGGCCCACGGGTTAAAAAAATCAATTTTTGATTTTTGATTTTTCAATTTTTATATTTTTTAATAATATTATATTTAAATTTTGAATCTTTAAATTTTTTTCTTTTTTAATAATAAATTATAAATTAATATAATATGTTTAGTATTGTTTTAATACATTTTTGGTTTTTAACATATTTTAAAAATATGATATTTATAAATTACCCAAAATGCCCATATTGAGTTGACAAAGAATTGGTCAACCCAAGAACTCACAAATGTAAAAGGCCAAAAAAGATAAAAAGGACCAAATTAGTTGGAAAGACAAATGTAATAGACCAAATGAGTGAGTTATTAATGTAAAGGACCAAATTAAGTTTTCGGGTAAATGTAAAGGATCTTTTGAGCAGATTACTCTCTAATATATTTAGATATGGTGCAACTATAGTCTAGTCGACTGAATGATTCGGTTGATAGCCCTTGCCATCAGCTAATAAGATTAATAACAACCATGAGATCAAAATAAGGTACTCTTAAAATAAAAAACACCATACCACACCGGATTAATTGCATTGTTTAGTATAGTCTAAAATATCCAAATGGTCACTTACATTTGGGCTTACTTGAATTTACGTCCCTAACATTAACATTTCAATATCATAGTCCTAAATATTATGTTTTCACACTTTTTTTGGTCCCATTTCACTGTTTCGGCCACTTTTCCGTCCAGTTCGATGTTGACCGGTAGTTGACATACTGGAATCAGGGGCATTTTTATCTTTCCATATAATTTGAACTTTTATTAAAATTTAAATCATTTAAAAATATTATAAAATTCACATTTAATTATTTAATTGTAAAATTATTATTTATTAATTTACAATATTATTATAAAATTTAAACTTTACATTATTTTTAAAAAATTAAATAGCGAAATATTTCAAATAACAAGGACCATAAAATACAAATATTGTTTTTCAATTTCCATTTAATAATAGCACTTAGCTTATCAACTACCGAGAACAGACAAGAGAAAAAAAAAGAAGAAGAAAAAAAGGTTGGGGGACTTTAATCTGTTGTTGGTTCCATGGACTGCGCGGGTGCACCTCGGCATTCTTCATATATGGCATCCAACTGCTGCTGAAGCCACTTGGGGTTTCATTGGAATGGAAAGTTTGGCCTAACAGTCTCAGAGGTAGTAGAGAGCTTCTTAATAATAATTAATTAATAAAGGGGTGTGATTTTTCAGTATTTTTTTAAAGAATAGGAGTAATAAAGAAAGTAAATTAGTTGACAAAAATTGCAATTCAAAGTCCTCATTATTCGTACATAATTACCTTTCGAGGATATAAGAAAAAAAGGTTTTGCCTGTCAGGATGGTGGGCGCTATTGCAACTTTAGTTTAATTATTTTGGAGCAATATTAGCAATATTGTTCATACCTCCTAACTTAGGACCATCCTTTGGCGATCTGACCTAGATTCCACCGGCATTTAACGCCTCTATTAAGATTCTTAGGCCCATCCTACCTACAGACTTGGGCCTTGCAGGAAAAGCATGCCTTAAGCCCACTAGCCCACCACCGTCTTCCAGGCAACCATAATCGCTCAGGGAAACACTCATATGGAGAGCATCTCTCCCGCAATATACCGATGTGGGACTAAAATCTGCATCAATTCACTAATTAAAACTTAATTAAAAACCACTACAGTCTACAAATGGTGCGATGAAATAATTGCGATTACTTAAGAATGGAATGGTGAGATGATCACCAGTATCCTCCCTTAATGCAGCAATTGATTGTTGGGGAAAAGTAGTTTTCGTCCCCCGCGATCTCATCAATGCCGAGAGATGATATGGTTGGTAAATCTTTGAGAAAAGGATCATCTGACTGATAGTAACCTTCCCGCTTTTGACACTCATTGTAATGAGAAATGAAATGGGTGATGCTGCTTATACTCTCCTTGGAGAAATCATAGGTTATTCGGCTGGTTCGGACTTCCCATTGCTGTTGTTTTTCTGCCTTTCTTCCCAGCGTTGCTAAGTTTCAGCCGGCTAGGATTGGAAATATTTTTTTGTTATTTGAAAAGAACGGTGAAAGAACAATATTGTTACTATATCTCTTTCCACCAATCTGTAGCATACTATATATATCCAAGAAGAAAGAAGCCGTTTTTTTAAAAAATCAGGAGGAGTAATGAGTGAATATTTTCCGCCTTTTCATTCCCAGAAAATAAACATAATCATGATTGATGAATCTATTTGTATCCAAAACATGCATGAGCGTTAGGATTCTTCTTACTGAATGTTTATTACAGTATTGTTGTATACTAACCTGTCCTTCAAATCAATTGAATGCTTTTTATTTAATTCTCAAAGATACAAAACTCCTCGGCCTACCCCGAATCGTCTCTCTCATGATGACGATCGGGCGCAATCTCAATAATTTAATTTTAATGTTGCCGGCCGTGGGGCGATACATCTGGTTTGGGGTAAATGAACTTCAATTGGTACTTTTTTTTAGTAGATCGACCAAAGACTAATTGTGAAAATGAATAATGTCCTAACATTATACTGTATTTTGGGTAACGATTTTATTTTTAACTCCTACAAGATTCCGATGAATCTCCGACCGTTACCACATACACTCTTAAACCACGGTAGCTCTGTTTCTTTTTTCTTCCAAAAAAAAGAAAAGAAAGGAATAATTAGTTGTAAGATAAAAATTGTCATTAACTTTAATAGGTTTCAAAAAAATTATCAAGAAAAGGTTTTTACTTAAAAGAAAGAAAAATTCTTATTGCATTGCATTCTCATAAGTGTGCATAATCTAAAGTGACGTAAGTTGTAGGAAAGATGTACCTTGGAATTTCTTTTTTCTTCTCACCTTAGATTATTATGATTAATGATTAAAAGGGTTTGAACTAACAAAAATTTAAAAGGGAAAAATTAATAATCCGAAACATTTTTAGAATTCTTTCTGTTCTAAGAAAATAATCCACTTTATTGAACTAAAATAGTATAATAAGTAAATTACTAGTACTCTATTCACGCGTTGCGCGACGAGATTTAATTTTTATTGTGTTATAATTCTACAAATATTATTAAGTCCTCATAAAAGGTTTTAATATAAATGGTCCATAAATTTAATTATAGATATAATTTTATATGAAAAAACTCAATTACATTCAAGAGAAACCACAATAGTTGAAATCAGTAATTTTTAAGAAAAAAATTGACAACACTCTTTGTATTAACTGAAACAAAATAGAAATCCAGGAACTTAAATGTTATTCCGTTTAAGTTCAAAATGACGCCAATTTGTCATGAAGATTTCATTATTTCATTTTCAAATTATAAATCAATATATTATAGGCAATCATAACAGTTGATTTTATTCATTTTCTAATATCAAACATATGTTTTGATAAGTTTTAAAGGTCGTATATTGAAACATGGATGTAGGTTGAAAATTAATTTGACAGATTTCTCAATCCTGTATTTGATTGTACATAAAGTAAAATAATTTTTTTACTTCAGCTGTATTTGTTCAATCTGTTCAACGAAAAAAACTAAACATATTATTAGAGATAAGTACTTAACAAAACTAAATGAAATTACATTGTATATAGTGAGAAAAAAAATGCTATTTCAAAAAATGGCCAGTAGGCCGTGGTGAAAAATTCATATATGTTAAATTCTTGGCTATGTACCAGTATTTTAACTTATAATTTAATATAGTTTGATCATGATAAGCATTTTTATAATATAGACTTTGTTCAAATTTTGTATTCATTTCGATTAAATTATTTGTAGGAAACCAGTTTTGTCAAAAATTTATCTTTTACGTAAACAACCAAAAGTTTAAACTAAGCAAGCATATTACTTGCATAAAATACCGAAAAATTGAGAATAAAACTGCATCATCGCCGCCCGTCCTAAGCACCGTACAAATCCATGCTTCGTCAAGTGGCACTCCCGGTGGGACCCATTTGTTTGGTCTTCACAACCAAATAATTTCTTGAAGCGAATATGAAATTTATTGGTGATTTACGATGATCATCGGGTCGATTTGATGTGCAAATCCATATAAGCTCTCAAGTCATTCGAAGCAAGGGGCAATTTCGAGGATTGAAGTTTCGAGAGATAAATTTCCTCAAAGGGACAAGCATCCCTCGAACAATACACTATTATTCGAAGTGTTCGAGAAGACTTATCTCAACTTTCATAATATCTTCTCTGAATTGAGGTAACACCTTCTCGAGTAATTAATTTATTACGAGATCGAGGTACTTCTAAAATATTTTCATGCTTTAATATCTGATATCATTATCATATTATTATCATATCACGATATCTTTTTGAGCATGATCAAAGGAGTTCTTCAAATTACCAACCCTCTCGCGGTAAAACCCTATCACCCTTCAACGAGGAAAACGTACTCGGGGGCACAAACAGGGACATATCCTTGGGGCAAGGAATTCGAGGGATCATCCTAATATCCTTTGCTTGAATTTATATTCTTTACGAGCATCTTATTACTATATGTCATTCCTTTATCATTATTGCAATATCTTTGTTGAAGTTCAATGGCAGAATCCACAAGCTCGAGCCACTTGAGCTCAATCTCCTAAGAAGCCCTTATGCATCACGTTCCTCGAGAAGATCACAATCTATCGACCATTGTCCTTCCGAGGACCTTCTTCTGTCGATCATTGTCTTCTCGAGAATCTTTCTCCAGCTACTACGCATCCATTCGAGGACCGTCCTCTCACGGACCATTGTCTCTTATCGAGACCGTCTTTTCATAAACCTTTGTCCTCCTGAAGATCGTCATCCATTCGAGGACCGTCCTCTCACGGACCATTGTCTCTCATCGAGACCATCTTTCATAGACCTTTGTCCTCCTGAAGATCGTCCTTTGGAAAGACCTTCCATTGTCGACCATTGTCCTTCCGAGGACTACCCCTTGTCGACCTTTGTCTTTCCAAGGACCTTGTCATCGTCGACCCTTGTCCTCTCGAGAACCTTCTTCTGTCGACCATCACCCTTTTGTTTATCTTGCAGAAATATCATGTTCGAGAACTGGGGCAATATTACAGAAGTCGATAAGCCGTCAACACTCTAGCCTCGTACTTTTAGCAACCCATATTCTTCTCATCAAGTCTCAAGAATATGGCTTGCTAGGGGCACTTGATGAGTCATAAAATAAACCCTAACCCTAATGGGTTTGGGTTGGTTACCTTGGAAGCTAAGTCACCGCCTAAACCTATTACGACTAGGTTTCAGAAAACATGTAACACCACCTCTATATAAAGTGGTGGTGCCTATCCCATAATTCATATCTTCTACCTATCTTCTACACCTTCTACACACGATACACATCCTTCTCTCTCTATTCTCTCTATTCCCTTATTGACTTAAGCATCAGAGAGTCTATTCTCGGGAGACACCCGAGGCTCTGTCTTGCAGGTTTTAGGTTGTCCACCGCCTCCTAGGTCATCATCGCCGCCCGTACTAAACACCGTACAAATCCATGCTTCGTCACTAGGTTTTTGCCAACTCATGACAACAGAATAAGGTGGAAAGTCGAGAGGAAGATCCGAAGCCACATAAGGAAGTTGATTAACAAGGACCAAGAAGGAAGAGGAAACTCAAAAAGCCTGCTTAACTTTCTATCAAATGGAGGATTGCCATTGGAAGAAGTGATCAATGAATGCCACGCATTCTACTTTGTGGGAAAGAAGCAGTCGCGATATCCTTGACTTGGACAATTTTGCTTCAATATGTGCATCAAGACTGGCAAACCAAGGCGCGGGAAGAAGTTTTTCGAGTTTGGAAGATCGATAAGCTTCCAAATGCAGACACTTTGAACGATTTGAAAGTTGTAAGTGTTATCTTTAATGGCGGTTTTTTTTTAATTTTTTTTATCGTTCAACGAGTTCAGTTAGTGCTTGATTAATGGGCGTACTATAATTTGTACCTTTTTCGTCTCAAAATTATTATCTAGTTTGAATTTTTATTTTGTTCAAATTGTACTAAAATTGAAATATTAAACTAGGTAATAATTTTCTGATAGAGGGAGTAATTATGTTGATATATCTAAACAGGTGAGTCTGATAATCAACGAATCACTTGGACTCTACCCTCCAATTCCGTCTACATTTAGGGAAGCATCTAAAGATATGAAGGTCGGAAACGTCAATGTTCCAGCTGGTACGAAGTTCGCTTTGCCTATAGCTGCAGTTCATCACGATACTGAATTATGGGGAAAAGATGCTGATGAGTTTAATCCACAAAGATTTGCCGACCCGCGGAAGCATTTGGCCTCCTTTTCTCCATTTGGTTTAGGTTCTAGAATATGCATTGGTCAAAATTTCGCAATAATGAAGGGAAAAATTATATCTTGGCTACGATACTGAAACGATTTACTTTTCGTCTGTCCCCGTCGTACGTTCATGCACCTTGACATTTCTGACCGTCACGCCTCAATTTGGTGCCCAGATCCTCTTCAGCAAGATTTCAAGCTGACCATCGTCACTTATGTACTTTCTTACTAAGTCAGTTTGAAAGTTCCTTATTTTGGTTCGACCTTAAAACACTTTGAAATTAATCATGTATATATGCGACCGTTACATTTTATTGTACTGGAACTGAGTATGAATTAATTTTCGATTATTGATTCATCGAATGATGTTGTAAATGATTCATCAATATTTTTCCCCAAAGTCCATCGACTAAGGATTTTTCACAGGCCTATTATCAAACCCTGATGAAGTCCATCAGCTCATAATGGGCCTACTCTAATTCCATTTGACCATTAAGGAAATTTAATCTAAATCAATATATTTTTGGCAAAAATTTAAATTTGATTCGCTTAATTTTAACACTAAAATTAATAAATTTATTCGACATTAAACTTTCTCATTTTTATGTTAATTTTCTAAAATTCAATTTCATGCCTTCTTTTGTTTAAAAAAAAAAAAAACAATTTATTGAACATGATCTTTCATGTCTTTAAACTAACCATCAGCCCGAAAGGCCCAAACCAAATTCCTCGCGCAAGAGAATATTAAAATGAAGTTATAAAAAAAAAAATTTAAAACAATTTTGCATATTTAAATATTTATTTATTCAGGTTATTCTGCAGTGGAAAATTCTGAGCCAGTCATTCCATAATTTCTTTTAATTCTAGCGCAACTATAAATTGGATGAAAAGAATAAGAAAATACCCTTTGGAAGTGTCAACTGTCAACCATCAGGAAAAAGGATTTCCATGGCGGTTTAGGATTTCAGTCTCGCCTCTTTAAACCGTCTTAGCCTCTTATCCGCGTATTTATCCATCTTCAGTCTTCGGCGCCGGAGCTTCACCGCTCCTCATCCGCTGATAAGGTTGGTAGCTTTCTCTTTCTTCTACTTCTTCCAAGTATTTAATGGTTATTGTAACGATTGAAATCCGATTAGGTTTAAGCTGTTTCAATTGTGTGGTTTTGGGGGAATCAATCCGTTTTTTTTTTTTTTTTTGGTAAGGAATTGAGAGAAGGATAGGTTTGGGTATGTTTCATTTCGAGCTGGATATGCTGGCATCCCATTTGAATTTACCTATGAGCTTTCTGCAAAGTTTTCTCTCTTATTCAATTGGTTATTTCAGAGCTAAAAGTTTCCTGAATCCGACTGAATGCCATTGGCTTTTCTGTGTTCAAACATCGTGTTTTTCCACTGCACCGCACCGAGCTAATTGATTAACGTTGCTTTATTTTTTCGAATTGTTCACTGTTTATCTGTTTGGTAGCTCGATCTCATTAGTTAATGGAGACCAATTAGGTCTTTAGTTTCTATTAACGGATCAACTATGTTTTCTTATTAAACTTTTGGAGTATCAATAGTGAAATTCTCGGAATTGCCTCTGGAAAAGAACATAGAGGTTTCTATAATTCATGAAGAAATGTTTGTTAAACTATTCTTTGGATTTCTTTTTCATAATCTGACAAATTCGTTTTCTTATGGTTAAACTTCAGGTAAGCATCAGTTGACGTGATGTCCTTGATGGCTAGCTCAGTTGCAAGTCCATCCACGTTACCAGCAGGTATGGGAGTTTTGATGTCAATAGGCGTATATCAATTTGTCATGAAAAATCTATGTTGGGGAATGTCAGCATGTATTAACATATGGTATTAGATGTTTATGAATTTCCTTCCATGTACGTCTGGAACCATTGGAATGATTTTCCTTTAGAGCCGCTAATGATGTTCATTCACCAATTCTATATATTATCTCTTTGTTTGTACTGCCTACATTTTTATTTTATCTTCCACCCGCTGCTATAGTTGTGCAACATCTACACGTTAACTTAGTGTGTTTTTGGTTTGCTTAAAGCAGAGGGGTTCCACGTGCAAAGTAAGCGTGCTGGATCTGGTGCTGTAGGACTTAAGCCTACAAATTTACATTTTCAACCTCTCCAAAGTAAAAAACCCTTAGCTTATGCTATCCGAGCTAAGCATGCATCCATACGATGCGATGCTGCACTGGTAAGTTGTGTTTTGTGGAATCTCATCCATTAGTCATATTACCTCTGTCGTTTCCACCATTTGATACATTACTAGGCAGTTCATTATAATCTTTGTAGCAACTTTTATGTATTATTCCTGTTTAATTATACTCATTTCCTTTTGTCTATAGTATGGCTCTAAGACAACCTCTTTTTGTTGCTTGTTTTGGGTTTGGATTTGATTGTGAGGTGTCCTTTTTTTTAATACTTTAATGTGTTTTCCGAGGATGAAGTAATTTGGCACTTGTGTTTTAAGTAATAGTTATTCGGGGTTTGAACGTGATTTTTAGCTTTTTATGTGAAGCAATCATCGACGTTGACTGAACCATTGTATAGACCTACCATGATTCTGTGTCTGAATGCGTGTTAGATGCTTCTGCTTCTATTGTTCATTAGTTCATGCAATCTGTAACGAATAATCAGTATATTGAGTTACTCACTGGGGTTTTTTTCTTTCTCTCTGTTTCATGAAGAATGCAACATGTGCAGCAGAGCAAACCCAAACAATTACACGGGAATCATCTACAATTACTGTCGCTCCTGTTCAAGGTAAAATTTGCGATTTGTCATTCCTTTCTTTTTTCTCTGAGAACAAACATAATTTGAGACTTTTTCTATAATGTTTGCTCATCTAGCAAATTGAATTAGATGATCGAGTGTCCAACAAACGAAACGATATGATATATTTTTTCTTTGATATTTGCTTATTTCTGTTTAGCATATTTGTTAAATTTATCTGTGTCCTTTGGGGGTTTGCAATGTTGCTTTATAAGGCTTTGTTCTGTGTTTTTGGTGAAAAGCATCAGGAGAAATGGCTGAATTTGTGGTTTGTCGTGTAAATGGCCTTGCATTATGGATTCTTTATGGAAACCTTTGCTGATTTGTCAATTCTTTTTAATTGGATTTCAGGCAAGGAAAAATCTCCTGAACTAGATGATGGTGGGTCTGGATTCCCTCCACGTGATGATGGTGATGGTGGAGGCGGTGGTGGTGGGGGTGGAGGCCATTGGTCTGGAGGATTCTTCTTCTTTGGGTTTCTTGCATTCTTAGGCTTCTTGAAGGATCAAGAAAGTGAAGGACCCTATCGGGAGAACAGAAAGATGAGGCACAACTACTAGTATCGACAGTTATCAAAATTTACAAGTATGAATCATAGCTGCTTTGTGTGATTTTTTTCCTGCCTGTCTGTTACTCAAGTGACCCGAGATTGAAACTTATAATTCGTTACACCACTTATATAGCAGTTGGATTCGTTTCTGAACTTGCAGAACAGTGTATAACCTTGTTGTAGTAAAATGGAGAGCAGTTTCTTTATTCTAACGCTCTGTCTAATAGAATCAGAGGTACACAGCGCCATTTTTAAAGTTTATACCAAAAAAAAACCTGTAATTGTGCTTGATCAAGAGGATTCCTGACTGTTGCTCTATATTTCATTTTAGTGCGATTAGCATTCATAGAACAATGATATGGACGATTGATTTCTACCATGATTGATGTGACATTTACTCATTGTCAAACTTTTATGTTTTCGTTATTCTAAACGTTATGACTTATGAACGACTACTGTAAGTATAACATGCCACGGATCAGTAACTAGTTTTTCTTTCGTTTTCGAACTGTCCGAAGTGCTTTTAGAAAGAAGATATCAAGTGTAGCAGCAAAGGGGTCATAACTCCAGCAAAGGGAACCTACCCAATTGAATTTCAGTATAAAAGGCATTTAAACCTTTATGGAAACAGTTTTCTTTGGACTCCGCATTTAACCTGTCTGCTTTTATTGGCATACACACCATCATCTTTTAATTAGAGCTCACTTTTTGTATCGTTGTTAATTCATTTGGGGAGGTAAAAAAAAATTTCCTCCAAAGAAAATCCTACTTTTGGTATTGGTGATCATTTAAAATTCCACGTTAAAGTGAGGTTAATCTTTTTGTTGGGTGATTGGGTCCTCTGGGAATCTAAAACATCAAATCCTACTGCAAAAAGAAGCTGAGAAAACTTAGAATGTGTTGCTTTGGTGGAGGAACGCTTTCTCCATTATTTTCTTGGTGGGGAGTGAAAATCCTTACTTTTTTCAAACATATATATAATTGGGGAATAATATGTAGATTTGGTAGTCCTCCACATATATCAAATGTGCTTGATTTTATCTCAATATGAGTTCTTATGTGAGAACATTACTGTAGACCTTTGGCCTGCCTAAAGTTAAGTCAGTATTCATTAATTTTATAACGAAAGTTTGCCCCTTCCCTCTTACATTTAGACGATTGGACTTCCACGGTTACATCCAATCGTATTCCGCTCAAAATAATGGTAATATAAGGTAATAAAATTCCCCCCAAGTTCTATGAGATTCAAACTTTTTTGCTTAAACTATCCCTGCGTACTCTTCTATTCCCTTCTTTGAGCGTAGATTTTTAATAACTCAATTACTATCCATAAATCCACAGTTTGATTTTTGATTTCTATAGCCAGAGAAGACACATAAAACATGTATCGATCCTATCCAGTTTGGTTTTCGAATTTGGTTATTTTTGTTGTGTTCGTATTGTATTAACTTTATCTTACTCGAAGTTGTATGGTATAATTTTGTTTAGATAAGGAGCTGTATGGTATATAACGTTTATGATTTGAAATCGCATATATGATGTTTCTAAGCTTCTATTATATTCTAATTGTGTGTGATACTAAACTATGAGGCCAATATGGTACACTGCCCAAAAAATTAATGAAGAAATTGGGAGAAATAATGTACCGTTGCTGTGTGTAATTGTAAAAAAATTGTGAAGATATATGGGAATGTTTCCGAATTTATAAATTGATTACTGTCATGGAACATGATAAGGTACTGTGGTGCATTTCTATTTTTATGGATTAGAACAAGATCTTGCAATTCTTTTCTTTATCTATGGATTGTAGCTAAGTAGTCTTTAACGCCTAATTGACACAATTAGCATCCGTGAGACAGATTCTAAATGGTGTTATTTAGTTCTATTTGCATATCCTTCTTGGTTTTGAACTTGAACGATCACTGAGGAGATATGAATATTATATTATTTCTATTATCTGACCTTCCTTGCTGAATTCTTAGGAATTGCTAAAAAATATTTAGCGACTCCAATATCAATGAGTAAACTAAATATTGTGAAAAAAGAATACTGTATCATTCAGATGATTAATTGCTCATTGATTATCATTTGCAGTTCTGTATATCGGTGAAGTTAAAAGAGAAACCCAACCATGATGATGGTGGAAGATATCTAAAACAAGATTCTTTCGCTTCGATTTGTTAGATGCATTAGAAACTCAGATTGAATAAATCAGTAATCGATGGAATTTAAATCGAAGCACCTTTATTGGAAATTTGGGGCTAATAACCATTTTATCAGGACCGGCCTCTCCTTTCACTCTTTTTTCTTTTAAAAAAATTTGATTACAACTGATGCTTCAATCACTCGTTGTTCACCTACTTGTTGAAATGTGTTACCCAATTATGGATGATTCGTGTAATGTCAATACAAACAAATTCCCTAAAAGATCGTATTTCTATCAATATAAACAAAAAATCACACCTCATACTCAAAACATATATTCACGGCAACTTGATCTGTGTACGCACGAAGCGCATTTAAACCCCTAGTCTATATATAAAGCACGACTTTGTTTCGTCGTCGTCTCCTCACCAGCGGCTCTATTATTATTATTATTGTTTTTTTGCCCTTGTAAAAAATAGGAAGAAGTTGTAGTCATTGACAATTGGCAGCAGATTCACTATTAATAATATACTCTCTCCGTCCCATAATTATTGTCCAGTTTGAGTTTTCATTTTTAGTTAAAATTGTACTAAAAGTGAAATCTCAAACTGGACAATAATTTTGGGACAGAAAAAGTAATAACTTCCTCTTGATAATGATGGGTGTTTAGGCCCACATCATTTACGTTACTTAAAAAATAAATTTACATAACATATTTATAAAGTTACTTAAAAAATAAATTTACATAACATATTTATAAAATTTATGCTTTCTTTGTATTTATTTAACAATTTTAATGCTTAAAAATTCATTTAGTCTGAATCTTCTCTTGAATTACTTCTATTAAGCTTAAGTGAAAAAATATTTAGTGCTGATTAAATGAATACTAATAAAATAAAAGATAAAAAGCTTCACCATGCATGAAATAAAATGTGTGCAATTTTTAAATATCGAATAATGCTCGATTCACCAGATTTAAAAATTATTCAAATCGATTATGGTGACACTACAAGGGTAGTATTAGAAACAAAATATAAGAAGATATCATTTCGAAATGTAATTATAGCGGAAGAATTTGAAAATTTACAATTGTTGGTATTTTATTATGTCCAAAACCACTATTTTTCACTATCCTATTTTATATAGTCAAAGCAACCCGGCCAAAAAATGATTTAATTTTATCTCTCTTTTATTTGTTTGTGATTCTATTCTCTTACTTTTTAAAATGGTTTTTACAGAATAATGCAGATAAAAATTATAAGAAAAAGTTATAAGAAATGATGTTTTAAATTAATTTATTTCACTGAACTTATGTAATAAATGCTCAGACAAAAAATATTAAAAAAATAATAAATATGAATTATTACATGGTACACTATGGTTCACCATATATGGAGCACTAGTCTAATTAATGAAATCTATTTAAGGAGAAATAATTAATTATTACTAGTATTAAATTAGTCAATTCTCTTTCCATATTTAAATCCTATTCACACAAAAACTAAAGGTTCATAATCATTAAGTGTAAAATTTATGAATGATAGCCATTTTTTTCATATCAAATATATATATATATATATATATATATATATATAATTCATAGGTTTTGATTAAAACATTGTAGATATAATTCCAGATAAAATATTGTCATCTATTTAATCTTCTACTCATACTTATACGATGACTGCTCATGAACATAATGCGAAATGTTCATATAAAATAGAGAAATTCAAACAATAATCATGTTCATACTCTTTTCACGACACTTGGTTCACTGATATAATTAATGTAATCTATTTAAGGAATAAATAAATAAAATAATATTAAATTAGTCAATTTTCTCCATATATTTAATTTCTTATGTCCCATTTTCAAGCCCAAATATAACTACTTGAATTATTCAAAGGAAAGAAATAACTATAAGTCAATAAAATTGTCTTTAGTATAACACTAAAGGTTCATGATCATATAATGTAACAATTCATAAATGATAATCATAATTTTCATACAAATATATATAAAGTTCATAGCTTTTGATTTTGAAAAAATCATAAATATTAATCACAACTAAAAGTTGTAATGCTTAATTTAATATTTATACACACATTTGTGACTATTCATGTAAATTATGAGAAAAATTCATACAAATTGGAGAACTATCAATAAATTAAGCATGTGGAATATAAATGTTCATACTCTTTCTATGAAATATTCATGAACAACGATCATACTTTTCATATCATCTGTATCAAAGTTTCACAATTTTCATGCCAATTGAAAGATTAGTAACAAATAAAAAGACCAAACACTATATTCATACTCATATACAATGATGTTTACGAGAATTATGCAAATTTTTCATACCAAAAAAATGAAAATATTAATCTGTAATTTAGGAATTCATATATTCATACTCTTTTGATGAGAAATTCATGAATTAAAATAACATTTTTCATTATATATATATATATATATCAAAATTTCATTATTTTTTAGTTAATTTAAATTGTTTCTAATTCTCCGTTAGAAATTATGAGTAAAATGAGAGTTACAAACAAAATATCAATTCCTTTGTGCAGTATTTGAAAACATGATATAGTATGTGAAATTAATATTAAGAGAGAATGGAGTAATTTAATATTATTATAATTAATTTTTATTCCGTATTCAGATTATATTAATGACATGTGTGTACCAAGAATGGTGAAGCTGTTCACCATATAAATTGCAATAAATATAATTTAATCCACACAATTCATCTTTTATAGTCTTTATTAATTACTAATGATTGTAAAAAAGGAGTCCGCGGGCGCGGACTGAAGGAACCTAGTTGAACTACTAAAATTGTGTTCATTATTAGTAGAACACTTTTCCCTTCGAAACGAAAAAAGAACAGAAGGAATATGTTGAGGGGTGACTCTATATAGAACCAAAAATACACAGAAAGAAGAAGAGACTGAAAATGAAGCCCACTTTGTCATAAAAAATGTTAGGAATTTTTGTTTCTTACACCCTAAGAATTCTGAATTTTGGTACTTCTCAAATGTTCATATGACCAGATTTACCTGATTGATTCAAAACAAGGTCAATATAAATTAAGGTTAAATAAATGAAATTTAAGCTACTAAATTGTGTGCATGTTCGAGTTTATTTATATACTCCATCCGTCCCATAATTATTGTCCAGTTTGAGTTTTCATTTCTAGTTTAAATTGTACTAAAAGTAAAATCTCAAAGCGAATAATAATTTTAAGACAGAGGGAGTATTTCATGATGGTTATAGAACGCTAGCTGCTAGTCATGTCTCATCATAAAAGTACTACCAATTATATGAACTTTCTTAAGTTGCCGTGAAAAAGAATGTTATAAAATACTCCCTTTCGTCCTTATTATAAAGTATTTTGATTCTGTCTTAGATTTTACCTAGTCCTAAGATGTCTTTTTAATTAGAAAAAAAATTTAAACATATATTTTCACATTAGTTATGTTTTCTTAATTATTATAAAATATTTTTAAAATTTTTATTTCAATTGAAAAGACATTTTAGGTAAAACCTAAGATGGAATCAAAATGCCTTATAATAAATACAGTAGGGAGTACGAACAAAATGAGAGGGGTCACCAAACCTTTGTTCTTGTTTAACCTCAACTTGCTAATATCAAACGTTTTTTTTTTTTTTTCCCTTCAACTAAGAAAAGCAAGAAGGCAATAAAGCTTGGTTTAAAAAAATTTAAACACGTGTTAAAAAACATAACGATCATGACAAATTCGAATTTGAGGTGGTTAGGTTTCTAATACATTTTTTAAGAGGAAAAGAATCTCTCGAGCGTACCCACTCAAATCCACAATTTATAATGGTGCAGATCATGTAGGAGCTCTGTAAACTCCCAGCCGCCCCCCAAAAAAAAAAAAAAAACCAAATTACTTTGGACTTGGGTTAAAACAACATGATTAAGTCCTGAAAAAGCTTCGTGGTTAAATTGGAGGTACATTTTTCATGATCTTCTGGTCTTAGATAATCATGCCCAAATCTTCCATATTCGGTGTCCTGAGATTAAAGCATGAATAGACCTGGTTTAGTGGATATCCCACAATGTGGAATGTGAATGTTTGAAGAAAATAACTTCTTTTTCTGTGCTAAAATATCACATGACAAACTCCTCTCTATTTTGAACTCAGGTTCATTTTGGTGCAAATTTTACACCAAATGTAACTCAGTTGGCTGTTGCTATAAACGCTTTTCAAACTCAGTTAGGGTGAATGTGTTACTAAATCATGATTAAGTCAACTCTTCTTGCGATTCACCTTGCAAAATAGCATCCCGACCAACAAAAAAAAAAAAAAACTAGTGTAGCATGGTTTTTATGTCTCTCAAACTCAGCATTTTCTTTCATCTACTAGACACTTGGTGATTGTAGTGGCTTAGGTACACTTGCTGGTTTTTGCCTACTCGTGACAACTGAATTAGGTGGAAATTCGAGAGGGAAACGACACCAACTAAGAACGTTGATTAATTGTCATAAAATATGAACAAAACTATAATGCGATGAGGCGGGTCACCTAACCTTTGTTCTTTTTAACCTAACCTTGCTAATACGTAGTATTAAACTTTTTTTTTTGCCTTCCACTAAGAAAAGCAAGAAGGCGAGCTAATGTCCTTTTCAAACCATCTATAATCTGATGCGAACTTTGTTTTATATTAACACTAGGTTTAATTCAATTCAACCAAGAAAATCTCTCCATAACTCGTTCTTCATACACCAAAAGCCACAATGGCTCCCTTTATCCTCCTCCTAGCTTTCTTCTTAGCCCTTATACTACTAGTTATAATCTTCATCACGTACTCCATCATTTGGATTCCATACAAAATTCAACGTCAATTCTACAGACAAGGGATCAAAGGTCCTGGTTACCATCCCATTTATGGGAATACTCCAGAATTTAAGCAGGAATTTGACCGTACGTACACCAAACCCGTGGGTTCATTCAGCCATGACATTGTCCATCGGCTGGATCCACCTTACCACAAGTGGACTGCGTTGTACGGTAAAACAGTGCTATTTTGGCAAGGAATTGTTCCTTGGATCATTCTATCCGAACCTGAAATGTTAAAAGAGGTTTATCTAAACAAATCGGGTCATATTGTTAGAGGCAAGATTTCACCCCCAGTTGACCTACTCTTTGGCCAGGGACTCTTCAACTTGGGCGGTGACAAATGGTCCCTTCACCGCAAAGTTGCCAATCCGGCTTTCATGATCGACCAAGTTAAGGTGAACTTGCTTTGAACTATCCCTTCCATTCCGAAATTATTGTCCAATTTTTTTTTTTTCAATTTTAATACATATTAAATTAAAAATAATAAAAATCCAAACTAGCAAGATAATTTTAGAACATGAAAAGTACTATTTAGATGTCTCAATGATTGCATCATTTGATTATACGAATATTGACTCCCTGATCAGGAATGCCCTGATTAGGATCATAGAATTAAAACACTAATTAATTTTGTTGTTGTCTTTCGTCATTTACGTTTGGTTAATTATATCAGTCTACAAAATGAGCTTCTTGTTCACTGTAACTTGCACAAAGCATTCCAGATCCAGCACCCAATCAATCTAGTATATAGCGAAAAGGCTAAAACAAGCTCAAGGTTCAATTTTTTTTTTAAACAGAATGAATACCTCCTCAATTGAAGAATAGATTAAAAAAACGCAAAATAAAATAAAAAATTCTGTGTATTCCGATCCGTCGCCGTAGCTGTGTTTTTTCCACAGTCGACCCCCCGGCGTCGGAAATGCGGCGAAGAAGAAAGAGAACTCCAGGCTATTTTCTTTCTAGGTGGGCTTCTTTTGTATAAAAGTGGCCCACTTTGACACTATCTTATAACTGATTGGGGCTTTGTTTCAAGCATTAATAATGATATGGGTGAGGTCCTGAGGAGGAGCATGCTTGGGAGCTTTAATACTAATTTGCTATTTAGAATAGTCGTACTATTATTTTATTTTATTATTATTACTAGATGTTAGACCCGTGCGATACACGGGGTTAATTTTTATCGCCAATAAATATATTTGTAAAAAATATTAAAAATGTGGAGTACATGTAAATTTATAATTAAATATCTTTACATTACGTGTAATAAATTAAGCCCCTAATCATAAATATAAACCATTTCCTGTCACATGAAACGAAAGAATTTGATTTACCTTAGGACAGTGAAGAAAAAAGGAAAAAGAAACAATTTTAAGTAGTATATGAATGAAAGTAATTAAAAGTGCAAATGTAATTAAAATTAACTAAATCAAAGTTTTAAATTACAATGATAGTTTGTACAAACTTAATAATGTATATTGGGTTTTACTATTACTTTAGTCCAATAAATTATTTTTTACCAATAAAGAAGTTTATAATTACAAATTCAAATAACTTACTATAAAATGAGATTGAGAAAAGATTTACTAATTAAATGGAATTATAGCCAATCATAATAACATCATATAACACATGGAAAACCTAATCATTGAAATGATAATTTTTGTTATAAATATGTTAAGAGGTCACCAACAAAATCACAAGTCCTCATAATTATTTATAGTATAGTATTTTATGATTTTGTTGAAATACAATTATGTGTATTTGTTATTGGGCATACGTTATGTAATTAAGATATTTAATAATAATTCCATTTCGTTTTAAAAGGGTAGCAGATCATTAATGAACCAATATGTAATGAAAATACGGGTAATAACTTACTGAAAGTCTTAATAATAAAATATATTGTGCGGCTAAATTAAATATTGATTGTTGATTATTAAGCTTTGTATTGTAGTTTTGGATAATATATGGAGTAGTTTGTGTGTCATCCCGTCTTCTGCATCCTTTTTGTCTTTTTCTTTTTTTTTTTTTATTAAAAGTCCCACGATTGGCACTATTCTGAATACTTTTTTTTTTCCTTTAAAACCACATAATTATGCCTCTTTAAAAAGTTCCTGAAGTTGCAAAATTCCTGAATCTTCGTAAATGGCTGTTGACTAAATCTATATTATTTTAAAATATAGAGTGGAACCTAGGTTTGAAATAGTAGTTGGGTTTTTTTCTTTCGTGGATTTATGTTTACAAAATAAATAATATTATTCTCCAAGCCTCATGTGAGGGACTTATAGTTAATTTCAGTGACTTTTTTTTTTTGAGGAGCTTTAAGGAAATGCCACATAAGAGTTTTGCTGATGTGGCACCCTAAGAATCAATGTGAAATCCTCTCTCCGATTTCTCTATTAGAATATAATATAGATAGATTTTTTTTTTGAAAAATAAATTGATTAATAAGTATCACATGAACCAAACCTGATTGTGATATCCATCATTATCATAAGTAGTATTACTATATGATGAATAAAAAAAAAAACTAGAAAAAATATTGACACATAAAAGATATATATAATTATAAATCATTTTTTTTGAACGTCAAAACTCAAATATTCATTTTCATACTGTGTTAAAATATTAATTAATTATTTCACTACCAAATGTAAATTTTTGTGAATGGCAGAAATCAAATGGAGCTAAAAAAAGGCACGTATTCATGAATGTGGATCCACATATGAAATAATTTTTTTCATAAAAAATTCTGATTTTATGACGTTTGATCACACACACGCGCGCGCACACACACACACACATCTATATATATAGGGAAAATCTAGAGTCCCGTTAGCCATTTATGGAACCGTCCCGTTTTGTCTTCACCAATCAAAATTGAGGCTATAAGATATAACCATGTGGTGAATAACATTCTATAATATCATAAACTAATTGAGAAAATGATCACTTTTGTCGAAAACATCAAGTTTCTGGCCAATTTGACCCAAAATATTTTTGAGAAACTAAATTCATCATCTAAATTTCAATTTTTTGCCAATTTAATCCAAATTGATGAGAATTCTGTCAGATTTAATATTTTCACTGACATTCCGCTACTTTGTACAATTTTTTATTGGTAAAAAACTTTGTTGACCCAAAATATCCCTAATATTTTGTTATTTAGTAACATACGCTTATCTTACCATTTAATTATTATAACGCCCCTACCACATAATTTATCTCATAATCTAATTCATTGCTCCCACCGTAAGCCTCTTCCTTCTCTTACTCTTTTACTTGTTTTCCGTTGTCGCACCTCTACCACCCCTTTCCTCTTCTCTTCTAAAAATTACCATCACCACTTCCTAAATCTGTGAGAATTTCAAACCATCACTACAAACATAAAAATTTGCCTCCACCAACAGTACACAATCCTCCCTCCATCACTACCCACATTTCCGTCGGCGCCACTTTTCTTCAGTTCCACAAAAATTACAAAATATTTTACTTATTTTTCTTTTTTTCCCTTTCTTCTTTCTAAAAAATTGTACAAAGTAACGGAAAAAGAAAAAATAGTGGTTAAACCGTTTTGACTCCGTCGTCAATTTTACCCTATTGATTTTCGATTAGTTAATTTTGTCCTTTATATTTGAAATTTTTGTCAATTTCCAATTGGTCAAATTTTCGTTAAACTTAATAGATCTCCGTTAGTTTTTAACAAAAACACCCCAATAGTTTCAAAATATTATAAAGATAACTCACAAAATATTTTTTGAGGTATCCGGAACCTGAACGTCGTTTTTATCCTTTTTCTTGCTTAAAAAAATGTAAAAAATAACAAAATATTCCCTTTTCACTTGTATTGATTTTAATCTATTTCATTTTATTTCTATATACTACTTTTCATAACCATCAAAATATACTATATGATCTTTAAAAGATAATTTTGTTTTCAACGATATTTTTCATGTGCAACACACTTAAGTTGGGTTTAGAGGTAATTTTGTCTTTTTATATTTTATTAAAATTTTTAATTTGTTTTATTTTATTTTTTTAATAATTTTCTTCTTGTACTCTCTGACTTGTCTATGTTGGCACTATTATGATTACTATATTTTAAGAAACAAATTTACCTTTTGTAATTCAATTTCGAGGTTTAAAAAAATATTTAAAAATATGCTGTTAAAAAATATACGTATTTATCTTTGTCATGAAATTCAATGATTGCTCATATAGTTTAGCCATTGACAAAGTAACAATAACAATTACTAAAAAAGAATAAAAATTGTGTTAACTAAATTTAAAACAATTCATCGTCGTGGACTAAATAAATTAGTACTTTTTCCTATTTTAAATAATTATCTAATTTTTATATTATTTTTACTATCACAAACAAAATAATCATTTTAGGCTAGATCGCGTTTATATTTTGTAACTTACCTATGAATTACAAGAAGTCAAGGAGGAAAGACTTGCCTTAGCTATTTTTTTTATAGATTGTCTTTTCGTTTAGAATGATAACCTATTAATTTTTGTATTTATTTCAACCCGATTTTTTCTTCCTCATTTTCTTTATTTTTTAAAGTTGTTTAATAATCTATGAAATAAAAGGTAAATTAATTAATGAAATTTAGTAATTATACTAGTAGCAACAGATACAAGTCAGGAAGTATAAGAAAAAGAATAGTAAATAACAAAAAATAAAAAAAATTAATTAAAACTTTTAAAAATATGACAAAATTACTTCTGAACCAAACTCAGATGTTTGCACATGAAAATTAGAGTTTGAAAATAAATACTTATTATTTTAAACATCTTATAATATATTCTGATGGTTATAAAAAGTAGTAAAGAGAAATAAAAATAAATAAATAAATAATGAAAAGAGATTATTTTGTTGATTTTACATATTTTTGGGTTATTTTTATAATTTTTTTGATACTATTGAGATATATTTTTGTTAAAAATTAACTGAAATCCCTTAAGTTTAACGAAAACTGGGCTAATTAGATCAAATTGGCAAAAATTTTAAACATAAAGGACAAAATTGGCTAACCAAAAATTAATGGGGTAAAATTAACGACTCGATTAAAACTTTGGGCACAACCGTCAATTTATCTGTAACGGAATGTCAGCGGAGGTGTTATATCTAACGGAATTTTCGTCAATTGGATGAACTCGGCCAGAAATTGAAACTTTTTGGGTTCTGAAAAATCTTTTTGGGTCAAATTGGCTAGACACATAAAGCTTTGGGCAAAATTAACTAATTTCTCTAATTTTTTCAATTTAATCAGTTTAGCTATATTTATCTATGATGCACCCTCATTGTAATCCTACGGTTGTTAATTAGCCTAATTAATCCTACAGTTATTATCTTAAAACGGAACCGTCCCATAACGGGACTCTAACCGCTCTCATATATATATATATATATATATATATATATATATATATATATATATACTGGGAATTAAATCATGTTAATGTCGACCCTCTAGTGTCGAATTTCTGGTTCCGTCACTGACTTGACCGAGCCAGCTCGCGAATAACTTGCGAGCTACTTCAGCCCTACGAATTCTATGTTAAAACAAGCAGCTGGATATTACATTAGTTGTAGGATTGCAAATTGTTTTTCATTTTTTTTTTCAAAAATGAAATTGCAATTTGTGTCATATTTTAAGGGTGACGACTTCTACTCACTGGCTAAATGAACCTTGTCAAAAGCAACTCGGGCTCCCATCTCTAAACCAATTAGCAATGAATGGGATGACCTTTAGAGCTTATAAACAAGTGACAGATCATTCACAACACTGATGTGGGATTCTTTGTCTCAACAAATCTTAGAATAAACAAACCTTGTTGAGAGCCAACGCTTTCCAACTTCATCCGATCGATATAATAATATCTAAAAAGTTGAAGTTGACAAGATACATAGACGGCCAAAAAGGAATAAGGAAAAAAAAAAATCCATTTTCTTATGTAATCCTTTCGGTCCTATCTTTAAGTTAGAAACAAATTTATTTCGAAATTGTGCTTGAGAAGAGAAAGTAAAACTAAAAAGTTTTACAATTAAACCATTCTCAAAATTAACTAATGAGAAATGATTATTGACAACGCTATTTCATTTTTTTCCCGTCACAACTCCTCTATTTCATTTTGTTTCTAGTGTCTTCAAGCTTAAGAGTTTAACTTCGGGCTCATTTTGGTTGTTGATATTTTCTCCTTTTAATGAAAATGTTTGGTAGTCATGGATACCAGAAGTTGTGGATAGCGTTGAAATGGTTGTAAAAAAGTGGGAAGATGAGATAGAAGAAAGAAATGAAACAGAAGTGGAAGTGATGCAGGAGTTTCGTCTCCTCTCATCAGAAATTTTATCAAGAACAGCTTTTGGTAGTAGCTATGGAGAGGGAAAGCACATTTTTGAGTTAGAAGACCAACAAGCTAAATTGGTTTTGAAAGGTTTAAGGACTGCTTACATCCCTGGTTTCAGGTAAACTTATGATTTTTTTTTTATTTTTTAATTATTACTCTCTCTGTCTCAAAATTATTATCATGTTTAGATTTTTTTTACTTTTAGTACAAATTAAACTGAAAATAAAAATCAAAACTGAGCAATAATTAAAGGACTTGAGAAGGAGTATTATTATGATTATGTATTTTTTTTTTCTTGTTTTAACAAGAACCAACAAAATCTACATGCGCTAACATACCGTCTATGATTGTCCTGTTACAATTTGTAATGTAGGTTTTTGCCGACTCATGACAACAGAATAAGGTGGAAAATCGAGAGGAAGATCCGAAGCCTTATAACAAAGTTGATTATTAACAAGGACCAAGAAGAAGTAGGAAACTCGAAAAGCCTGCTTAATTTTCTACTAAATGGAGGATTGCCATTCGAAGAAGTGATTGATGAATGCCAAGCTTTCTACTTTGCTGGAAAAGAAGCAGTCACGATACTTATGACTTGGACAATTGTGCTTCTATCAATGCATCAAGACTGGCAAACCAAGGCGCGGGAAGAAGTTTTTCGAGTTTGGAAGACCAATAAAGAATTTCCAAATGCAGACACTTTGAACGACTTGAAAGTTGTAAGTGTAATCTTAAACGATTCAGTTAGTGTGTGATATTATGATTAACTTGTAATCATGTTGATATTTTTCAAACAGGTGAGTCTGATAATCAACGAAGTACTTCGACTCTACCCTCCGGTTCCAACTACATTTAGGGAAGCATCTAAAGACATGAAGGTCAAAAACGTCAATGTTCCAGCTGGTACAAAGTTTTATTTGCCTATAGCTGCAGTTCATCACGATACTGAATTATGGGGAGAAGATGCTACTGAGTTTAATCCACAAAGATTTCTGGACCCGCGGAAGCATTTGGTCTCATTTTCTCCATTTGGTTTAGGTTCCAGAACATGCATTGGTCAAAATTTCGCGGTGATGGAAGGGAAAATTATCTTGGCTACGTTACTCAAACATTTTACTTTTCGTCTATCGCCGTCATATGTTCATGCACCCGTGATGTTTCTCACTGTCGCGCCTCAATTTGGTGCCCAGATCCTCGTCAGCAAGATTTCAAGCTGACCATTGAAGTCACACCTTCTGTACTTTCTTCATAAATCAGTTTAAAAGTTCCTTACTTTTGTTCGACTTAAAAACACTTTGAAATTTTATCATGTATGTGCCTGTTACATTTTATTGCACCAGAACTGAGTAAGAATTTTCGATTGTTGTTGATTCATCAAATGATGCTGTAACAAAGTAATAAACACTGCTTTTCCCCCAAACTCCATCGACCAAGGGTTTCTCACAGGCCTATTATCAAAGCCTGATGAAGTCCATCAGATCATAATGGGCCTACTCTAATTCCACTTGACCCTTAAGGAAATAAAAATCCAAATCAAGATATTTTTGGCAAAAATTAACCATTGCCTATTCTTTCAGTATGTTTTTTCTCTTATTGTTTAGTTTGCTTAATTTCAACATTAAATTAATAGTAATTTATTCGGAAGTGCACTTTCTCAATTTTATGTTAATGTTATAAAATAAAACTAGATGCTTGGCCCAGGCAGATGCCCGGGCACCCCTCTACTTTAATTTTATGTTAATAGATAAATGAATTCTTGATTTGGAAAAAATAAAATAGCTACACAATTGTTTTTTCTTTTTTTTAGCAAAAAATAATTATAAAAATAAAAAAATCATCTGCCAAAGGAGAAAAAATATTGAAAAGTACAACAATTCAGAAATCATACAAAAGAATATGGAGTAATAAAGGGGATAAGTTTACGGACAAATTTAAATACTATTTTAATTTGATTGATAAATGATAAATGTTAGGAGTTAAAATTGTGTAGCTATTTTTGTAAAGTAGCTTTTGTTTTTCTGGATAAGAATTTTTTTTCTTTTAAAAAGGGTGACACGTGGAAGAATGGTTAATGTAATATGGTGCATTTGGAGCCAAAAATTTTTAATAAGAAGTTGCCACATCAACATCCTGTATTCTGCTTTAATAGGGTAAAAGGGATTTTATGCATTTTTTTTTCAAAATAATTTTTATACAGTATATAATATATGATCTTTCATGTCTTTTAAACTAACCATTCAATAACAATTCAACACGCCCTTTATAAGTCCATCAGCCTAAGGGCCCAAACCAAATTTCACGTACTAAAATGAATTTTAAACAACCAAAGTGGTTGTGGACTTGTGGTGGAATGGAAGGTACTCCTCCACCCTTAACTTTAGGTCGAGGGTTCGAACCTCGCCATGGGAATGGAGTAACCTTAAATACTTTGGTCAGATGTCCCACCTATCGAGGACACCCTGCAAATATGGAAAAAAAATGAAGTTAATCTTATAAAATAAATATGAAGAACTATCGAGAAAGAACAATAGATGAAAAGAACAAGTTGAGAGGAAGAAAGAGAGAATGATCTATGTATATTATTTAGTGGAGAGTGATCTTCTTTCATAGGCAGCAAGTAATGATAATATTTAACTAAATATTATCTCTGAACAGTTGATTTCTTGTATAACTCTTCTGTCTTGTGGATATCCACACCCAATAATTATTTATAACACTCCCCCTTGGATGTCCATTCCTTGGGATAATACCTCGTTAAAACTTTTACTAGGAAAAACCCTGTGGGATAAAAATCTAATAAAGGAAAAAGAGTACATTCCCGAATATAACACTGGCTCATTAAAAACCTTGTCAAGAAAATCCATTGAGACAAAACCTTGATCAAGGGAAAAAGAGTACAACGTGGTGTTGCTCCCCCTGTTAAGTACATCACTTGTAATCTCCTCATCACATACTAAGATGTTGACCAATTTCAGCAACATTGAAATCCATAGTTAATAGATTTTCTAAATATTCACTTCAGCTTGCAGACGGTAATCTTCACATTACATGTATAATCTTGAGTGATTGAGAATAACAGAGATCCATAACCATTGTACCCCAAAAATATCAATGTATGCAATACTTCAATTTTTGAGAAATTGATAAGATAAACTGATACTTTATAAATATTACAGTATGGTACTTCAGGACTGAATCGGTTTATATCATTATTAGAAGGTCGATAAAGGATATATAGGCACATCAAGACTTTAATCAAATATGCTCAACGGGAGTTCAATGTAAAGATACTACGGTCAAACTAAGGCTGAGATTCTATTCAAAGTCTGTTTTCATTTTCTTGCTTCAGAAAAATAGCAACCTTTTGAATTTAGCAACCTTTTGAACTTTTCTAATTTTGAAGTCTCAATAATGATGAACTCTTCCAGAGTTATATTAATTTTGAGGCTAGTAAAACTCCATAATGAGTTTTGATAATATCTAGTCTTTCAAGAGTTTAGTGTTAACTAAATTTTAAGAACACATATATCATTATCATACATATATGATCATTTAAATGCATGAAAAATCACAAACAAACATAACATATTCAGATAAAACATGTATATAGACGAGTGCATAAACCAAATATTCAAAAAAATATGCATTTAAAGATTGTCTAAACACATGAAGACACTAGTACTTGCGCAAATCTTTCGAATTACTTTCTCGAGAATTGGAACCATGTTCCTTATTGAATCCTTCTGGGATTTCACATAAACGTCATTATCAAATATCAAGTATCATATTTCAACTATCAAATTTCAAGTGATCACTACATTCAATAGACGCATTTTTATTTCTTCATTTGCTGCCAGATGTAGTAAATAACGGAAGAATTTTTTTTCATCTACCACAAGAGAATATATCTCCTCATGATTAACATTCCGACATTGGAAAAACTTGTGCAACTAGTTGGTTGCTCGTTAACGATTTGCACAATCGCCCAATAACATTTAGCCGGTATATTACTTGTCAAAATTTCAGTTTCTCAAGTAATTTCATTTTACCTACACATCTTCAGGTGTGTGTGTATTGCGTCTTTTCATTTATTATGGCTAATAAGTCTAATGCATGCACTCAAAATAGACTTTTATTTCATGATCCCCATTTTCATTCATATTTCTAACTACTGCAGTATAAGCAAATTTCATGTCGACACTTTATTGCCGATCGATTCCATCTTTCTGTAGTAATGAGATCTCATAATCACTAAATTTTCCAAATATTCTTGTTCTTCTTCTGGAAGTTTATATTCACAGTATTGAAAAATCATTTAATCACTCATATTTACCATCTCAATAGATCTAAACATTCTCATTTACGAAGATTCTGATTATTGGAATCGACCGTTCTACCACTTATCAAATGGACATTCAATTAAAGAATAGAGGTAGATAGTCATCCAGGGACGTAACATCAAAATTTTAAACATTAACAACTTTTGCATGTAACATAATTACACGTTTTGGTTATACAAATATATGGTTTTAAACATTATCTCTTGAACTTCAGGTTCATATTATTGAGGATCTAATGAGATAATGATGTAGTCAATTTAATTTATTAATCAACTGTTTTCACTTCTCCCCATGATGCTGGGATAACTGATTCGTCAAACTGATTGTCAGCCAATCGAGTAGTAAATAGATCTCCTTTTGGAGTAACTAACTCGTCAAACAGACAATGAGCCAATCGAATAGTAAAACCCAACATCAATAACCCCAAATGCTGGAGATTTAAAATCTGACATATGTTCTTAATCTCTTCCAGGGCCTCCATCTTTGCGTGCATCGTGGTGGAACAACTAAAATAAGCCACGCATCTAAATTTTGAAGATGGATATGTATGGTTTCTGACAAAAAATCAATGTATGGGAATTTTTGTAATAACCCATTTGGATTGATATTTTCTATGTTTCAACACATTCTCAATCGTATATATGGGGTGCTTACTTTCATTTTGAACACATTTAATAAACGATTTTACGGGTCCGTTTCACTTTTGCTTGTATAGGCGTTGTATGTTCAAGTACTATCAAATCAAATTTTTCTCAAAGGAGAATATGAAATTACACACATAACTATATTGAAGTCGATAATTAACTTTTACAAACTCCAGGTTTCAAGTTAATGACAAGCATACAGATGTCAATCCTTTAGCACATCAGTTAATTTGTTGGAAGAAACTCCTGATTCTCCAAATTTAATACACACGAACTTAATTATGTCAAATGTATAAACTTATAATAATCAGTAAACTTCTGGTTTGACTTGTTGGTACGAGAAGTGAACTTTCGGTTCCCTCGTAAACTTCCGGTTTACTATAAACCCAACGATAGTAATACATGTATAGTTTTTTTAACACAAAAGAATACAAAGATTAATACAATTTTTCTTCTGGAAACTGTATTTTTATTATACAAGTATATGGTAACAATTTTCCGATATTCAAAAATCTTTTCTCCAATTCTTTTGACATTGGTGCAAAATCATTTTGTGGTTTTATTTACTTTTCCAGAGCTAAATTTACAAATTCTCTTCTGGAGATAATAAAGAACTAATTATTCACACATGTCAAAATAACTCTTTTTCATAAGAGCATTTACTCTAATGGAGTTTTATCTACTTTGCAGGAGTATTGTTTAATGAGTTATTTTCGTTTTGCCAAAGTATTTTTACTCTTCAGGAGCACACATATAAAGTATTATATAACTGACGCTCTACAAGAGATTTCATCCAATTTGATTTATGGAGAAATGTACTTAAATATATCCAGTAGTTAGGGAGTATTCACGTTATTGTATTCTGCCATAGCATATTATGCTCTTCTGGAGATTTTATCCAATTTCGTGAAGAAATTTATATAGATGCTCTACAGGAGCATAAAATCAATTTTGATCTAACAAAAGAATGATGACATTGCCTAAAATCATAAATCATAAGGAATAATAAAGTATACGATAAAGTATATAATAAAGAAATTACTAATATAAAATATAAAATAAACTATCACCAGATATTTTCATTATGAATAGATAACTAACATTACCTTCAGGGTGATAATCCATAATAGTTCTGATTCTTAATTTGTTCACCTTCAGGGAGAACATATAACTAACATACATAATAATATTATTAACACTTTTGTTAACATAAGTAGTTTCTGGTTCTTGACAGAGAATAACAATATGTTTTTAGCACAAAGTAGGTATATGATGATCATTTATTCTATAACAATAGCACTTTCTATCTTTTACCTTTTTTGCTCTCTTCAACTTTCCACTTCATATGGATTATTTTATTTTCATTAAAATCTATCACTTCTGGTGATTAGATATATTTTTCGTATCATTACCAGTTCTCGATTTATTTGGGGACTTCAATTTATCACTATTAAATTTCTGATAATTGCATCCACTTCAGGAAATGCAGTCGTCCAATTTGGACGAGTCTAATAATTTTTAACAAAGAAAAACTCAATAATTTATTAAATAGTAACAAGAAA